CCAGGTCCTCTCGCCTCACCCTCACCCAAAACACCCGCCAACAACCCAGAAACAACAGAGTGTCACCCTGTGTCACTGTACACACGCGCATACGCTTGCGTCCGTCTCGTCGCTGCGTGCTCTCGCTGCCCCTCGACCTTAGGGGGCACTGCTGGCCCTGTTCCCTCGACCTTGGCGACATTTCGCTGGGTTCCAGAGGACAAGCACCAGCCGGATGATTTGATACCACTTCCCCGATCGCCTGTGCTGCTCGTTTCCTCTGTTTTCCACTGCCTGCTCTGAAACCTATTGCGGCCATGGACCTCGCAAGCACGTCAACCGCCCCGGATCCCCGGAGTCTGAACCTAGATCTGGGCTTGAGCCATTCGTCGTCCAGTCACCGCCATGACGAGCTCGCTGCCTCCAAGTCTCCTGCCATCCCTTCTCCCAGCTACTTCAAAACCACACCGACTTTCACCGCCCTCGACGACGCCGGCTTCAACTCCAACTCCAACTCTACACCTGCTTCGAATCCCACCACCACCGTCGCCAACAATGTGACTACGAACCAACAGCCTTCCAAAGACAACTGCGACAGACGGAGACCAGACGAGGGAGAAGCCTCGCGATTTCCAGCAAATATGCCTACCCAGCTGGTCGGCCAGACAGTGACTCCCTTCCTCAGAGAACATATCCCTGGCATCTACGCTCCCATCGGCAAGCCCGACGTACAGACCGAGGACAACACCCTCAACCAGAAGCGAGACCCCAGCAGCAAGTTCTGCTATCGTCACCGGCCCGACGCAAAGTGTCGTCGCGCCGCCGACGAGTCCAAAATGGTCTTGATCCAAAGTGTAAGCCAAGCCAGTCTGGATGCACACAGGTACTATCGTCTCCGTGCTGACACTTGCGCACAGGAACTCGATAAGCTCCCCTCCGCCGACCAACAAGCCATCACCCACGTGTGGTCCCTCTTCTCCGCCGCCCCTGCCAAGCACCGCGACCTCATGCTCCAGGGTATCATCACCCAGTGCTGCTTCCCCCAGCTATCCACAGTCTCCCGCGAAGTTCACGAGCAGCTCAAGATCGACTTCATGGCTGCCCTCCCCACCGAAATATCCTACAAGGTCCTCGGCTACCTCGACACCGCCTCTCTTTGCAAGGCTGCCCAGGTCAGCAGGAGGTGGCGCGACCTCGCCGACGACGACGTGGTATGGCACCGCATGTGTGAGCAGCACATCGACCGCAAGTGTACCAAGTGTGGGTTCGGTCTGCCCCTCCTCGAGCGCAAGAGGCTGCGAGACTGGAACAAGCAGAAGGAGCTCGCCCGAAGCCAACGGGCTGAGGAGCCCGCCCGGGAGCCAGAGCCAGCGCCGGAACCTGAGCCGGAGGCCGCCGCCCCTGCGCCGTCCCCCAATGCCAACAAGAAGCGTGAGCTGGTTGTCTTGGACGGCAGTAGGAAACGCGCTTGCCGTGAGATTGGCGAGCCCGGTGCACCCAAGGCCCAGACCGAGCGGGAGAAGGACCGCCTCATCCGACCGTGGAAGAGTGTCTACCGCGACCGCTTCAAGGTCGGATACAACTGGAAGTATGGCCGATGCCACATCAAGACGTTCAAGGGCCATGACAACGGTGTCACCTGTCTCCAGTTCGACGACGAGATCCTCGCTACTGGTTCATATGACGCCAAGGTTAAGATTTGGGACATTGTGACGGGACAGGAGATTCGCACCTTGACCGGTCATACCATGGGCATTCGTACGCTCAAGTTTGTTGGCAACTTGCTCTTCAGCGGCAGCTTGGACCATACGATCAAGGTCTGGAACTGGCAGACCGGCGAATGCCTCAACACTCTTCAAGGCCACAGCGAAGGCGTCATTTCCGTCGACTATGATGGCAAGCATATTGCGTCCGGATCGATTGACAAGTCGGTCAAGATTTTCAACCTTCACAACAGGGAAACATTCTGCCTGCGCGGACACGAGGACTGGGTCAACCATGTGCGACTTGACCCCGGTTCGCAAACGGTGTTCTCGGCTTCGGACGATTGCACCGTCCGACTTTGGGATCTGCGAAACAAGACGTGCATCAAGGTCTTTGAAGGCCACATGGGCCAAGTCCAGCAAGTCTTGCTTATGCCGGAGGATTTTGAGCCGGACGAGGAGATGCTAGCGGCCGACATTGCCGATAACTCCTCCGTCCACAGCGGCCGAAGCACCACCCCTTCGGCCTCGGCGAATGCCTCAGCGAACGTGGCGTCAATCCTCGGTTCTTCTTTCGGAGACTCGGGCTCGGCGGACGATGACCGGACGGCGTTCGGCTGCGCCTTTGCGTCGGACCCCACCCGGCCCCTCCCGCCCCGCTACATGATCACGGCCGGACTGGATAACACCGTCAAGGTGTGGAACACCGTCACGGGCAAGTGTCTCCGCACCATGTTTGGTCACGTGGAAGGTATCTGGGGTCTCGTCGGCGACACCCTCCGCGTGGTCACCGGCGCCAACGACTCAATGGTCAAGGTCTGGGAGCCCAAGAGCGGCAAGTGCGAGCGCACCTTCACCGGCCACTCGGGTCCTGTTACCTGCGTCGGTCTCAGCGATAGCCGAATGGCCAGTGGAAGTGAAGATGGCGAAGTTCGCCTTTACAGTTTCGAAGCAGACGGTCCCCTCGAAGAGTGTGGCACCCCTGCGTGAAAAGAGCGATTGTAATTTTTTGGAGTTTTCTTCTTTTACATTCTGGGGTTCTGGCAGGTGTCTGGCGAAACGATTCCCAAACGGCGATTTACGAGAGATGGACTTTGTTGCATGACAGAAGAAAATGCCTATGGCAACTTGTCTCTTCACGTTCAGATTATTTTAGAAAAGTCCTCAAGGACTCTGGGCAGGGTATGGAAAGGGAAACCCCATGAGGTGGGCGGCGTTCGTGGATTGCATTTTTATGGGAATTTCTCTGTCCATCACAAAAAAGGGAACAGGATGGGAAAAAAGTAGTGGCAGCATCCAGAGTACAGGATATATCAAGAGGCCCGATTTAATCTACTACACAACTTACGACTCGTACCAGGCTTTCACATGCTCGTGCTTTTTTGGTTGGTGTCTCACGTTGGATCTAACGACTGACCAGCCTCATTTTATCTAGCACGAAGGACTTTCATCTGATACCGGCGCGTCGTGGCAAAATTAGCAGCGGCGGGAACTTGGAAGCAGCTGTTTGGGTAGAGGGAGGGAGGGAGTCAGAACGGGAGCAAGACCAGGTCCAAGCTGGTTTCCTCCCGCCCGTCCCTCCATCAGCTGATGGCTGGGCCAAGAAGGCCATGAGGCGGTGCCTGACGAGACCACTGGATTAGCTCCGAAAGCGGCATAGTCTGTGATGTCTGCTGCTGGTGTCTGTTGGATTGACTGGAGAAGAGGAAGAAGAGGTGAGGAAGAGGTGAAGATGATGATCCAGGCCAGGACCAGCCTCCGAACCTCGGCATTTCTGACGAATGGCCCTTCCACTCGGCCCAGCGCCGGAAGTGCCCGGTATCCACAATCTTGTCAGGTTCCATCTGTGATTGCGGACGAGTACGTACCGCATGTCTCCCCCGCAAAATCACAAGCTCGGCTTGGAGTCGGTAATGTGAAGGCTGCAGTGGCCCGCGGAGGTTTCTGCCGTAGCATGCCGCGCGCTGGAACGGGGCTACGACTCTTTTGGCGCTACGTCACTCTTCTTTGCGCAGAATCACAGGCCGACGACTGACTGACTGACAGAGTACCGCGTCAGTCAAGTTGGTTGTTGGAGTAAGGTAGCCTCAGCTCCTCCTCAGCATTGCTTTGCTTTGTCCATGCCTCTCTTCTGAATCCAGCACTGACAATGTGCACGCAGCTCCGGTCGTCCAGTGCCGCTGCTGATGATTCCGGCAACCAATTGGTCTTCTCCAACAGAAGAATAGAAATGGCCAGGGGGTGTTTTGGAAGTGGGGGACACATTTTGATGACTGAAGAAAGATGATCCAAGATACCTTTTCCCCATGGTCCCTCTCTTCGAGCCCTTCCCACACGGTTGCATCCCATCCCTCCACCCCCCGTCTGCCCAGTCACAGCCTCCGTTCCGCCGAATCGGGATGGGCGCGCTCATCATCTTGTCGCAACCCACGCGTGCGCTGCGCTAGTAGCCAGACGTCTGAAGATTCGATGGTTTGAGCCACTCAGGCATCGGCCCCGTGCTTGTCTCTTCCATTTTTGCACTTGTTCTTCCTGCTACTGCGTGGAAGACATGGAAGCGTCCGTGTCTGCTCTGCTCTGCTCTGCACATCTTGTTCCTCTTCATCCATCCACACACGCCCTGGTGCCCCGGTCTGCCGATGCCCCTGGCGCTGGGCAGTCTAGTGTCTGGCCTCATCGTTGTGCCGCGGGTGAAGGGGGCGGAACTGAGGGACACCTTCTCCTCATATGCTTTTTCGTCTGCTCCCCTCATGCTCGGGAAGGTTGTGTCTAGGTACACATCCAGAGTCACACATACGTACGCACACCTGGGTACCGTCTGAAGTCGGGGAACCTCGAGTCATCTGCATATGTCTGCTTGTCCCGGGGCTGATTTTCTATTCTGGCTTGTGCCTTGACCCCTCGTCCCCCCGTCGTCACTGTGAACCACCACCCCCCCTCGTCCCCTCCAACACACGCCTAGTACGCCACCTTTATATCTTCTGCCGTGGCTTTCATCACCGGCGCCGAGGATGTCTGCTTTGTAGGTCCGTCCCTGACTTGACTTGACGACTTGTTCCGAATCTTCTTCTTCTCGTCCCGGCTCCTTCCCAAGCTTCTTTCCTTGCTCTTTCCCGTGTGTCCCGCTCTTGTATGACTACTTCCTCTTGATACCTCCTTCTCTACCTACACGCGCAGCATCGTCATTGTTCTTGCCATTGAACAGAAAAGAAGAAAGCGTGACTCTTGCTTTGTTCCTGTAGACTCCTTGGCGCGAGCCTCCTGCTGCCTACCTTTCCTGTCATCTCGTTTGCGCATATCCCTACTTCTTCGTGAATCATGGCCTCCAAGGTCAAGCAAGATGGCAAGACGACGTCGGCTGCCACGAACCTCATTGGTATGTCCCACCACCCGCAATTCCGTTATGGGACGACCGCGACTGACATGATGGTATAGCTGGCGGTGGTGCCGGCATGATGGAGGCGTTGGTCTGCCACCCACTCGGTAAGTTCTTCCCCTCGGCGCAAACCTCGCGATGAGTGACAGACATCTTTACTGACACGTGCGACACAACCAGACACGATCAAGGTCCGAATGCAGCTGTCGCGGCGCGCAAGGCAGCCCGGAGCGCCCAAGCGCGGCTTCATCCGCACCGGAGTCGAGATCGTTAAGAAGGAGACGCCTCTTGGTCTGTACAAGGGTCTCGGCGCCGTGTTGACGGGCATCGTGCCCAAGATGGCCATCCGGTTCACGAGTTTCGAGGGATATAAGCAGATGCTGGCGGACAAGAAGACGGGGATTGTCAGCGGACAGGCGACTTTCCTAGGTAGGTCTCAGTCCCCCAATCTTGACCCGCAGAGGGAGAATGTTTGTCACTGACGAGAGAGACAGCTGGCCTCGCCGCGGGTGTGACTGAAGCCGTCGCCGTCGTGACGCCAATGGAGGTCATCAAGATCCGTCTGCAGGCGCAGCACCACTCCATGGCGGACCCCCTCGACATCCCAAAGTACCGCAACGCGGCGCACGCGCTCTACACCGTCGTCAAGGAGGAGGGTTTCGGCGCGCTGTACCGGGGCGTGTCGCTGACGGCGCTGCGGCAGGGTAGCAACCAGGCCGTCAACTTCACGGCCTACTCGTACTTCAAGGAGGCGCTCAAGGACTACCAGCCGCAATACGCCGGGGGAAACCTGCCGAGCTGGCAGACGACGGTGATTGGGCTCGTCAGCGGTGCCATGGGCCCGTTGAGCAATGCGCCGATCGACACCATCAAGACGAGGTTGCAAAAGACGCCTGCCGAGTTCGGCACAAGCGCGTGGAGTCGCATTGCCAAGATCTCGAGTGATATGTTCAAGTGAGTTTTGTCTTCTCGCGCTGTTCCTGAGAGCCTGCAGAATACTGACAATGTGCGTGTCCGCAGACAAGAAGGCATGCACGCCTTTTACAAGGGTATCACGCCTCGCATCATGCGTGTTGCGCCGGGACAGGCGGTGACGTTTACCGTCTACGAGTACCTCAAGGAAAAGCTGGAGAGAAGCAACGTGTCCTTCACTGGAGGCAAATACGAAGAGTAGATGCACATGGTCAAGGGGAATTGCTTTTCAGGTGGTTGTCTGTTGATGCAAGATACCAGTTTTTAATCTGCACGTCGAAAGCAAGAGGTGGGGGGGTGAGGCATGGTTGCACGCGAAGAGGAAGAAGATGCCGCAAGTTGTAGATATGCCGAACATACTTAGAAAGTATTGCTTTGCGAATCAACTCTGTCTATCATCAGCCCGATCTACAGGCTCGGGACCCAACGCCTTTGCATTGCATCGCATGCGCTCGACCTTTTTTCTTGCCTCTCCCGCCTTATCCGCCTGCAGCCCTACACCTTCACATTTATCTTCCGGGACGCTTGGGTCTGCTGAAGCCTTGTCTGGCCGTCACCTTGGGATGCAGCTCGGCCAGGACCGAGTCTTCGGTGACCTCGCTGGGCTCCTCGACCTCGAGCTTCTTGTCCAGCGTCAGGCCGGCCTCGCTGGTCGCAATCTCGAGCACGGCGCGCTTCATGAGCGGGTACAGCATGCGGTTCTTGATGGCCTTGTTGCCGGGAGTGACGGGGCAGGTGTAGATGAAGAGCAGGGGGCTCGACTCGGCGCCGTTGTGGGTGTGGGTGAAGCGGTAAAAGGTGAAGCGAGGCTCGGTGGAGGAGATGGTCTGGGTGAGTTCGGTGATGCTGGAGGGGCTTTCGGAAGAAGGGACGAGCTCGACGGATTCCTTTTCCGGGTTGATTTTCTGCAGATGCGAGTTAGCTGTTGGTCCGTCAGGTGGTGGGTGGGTGGAGAGTTAGTTACGCACCAACATGACCAGCGTACGACCGCCGTTCAGGTCCTTCATGGCAGCGAGAGCGTCCTCGGCGATAGGCATGGCGAGAGTCTTGCTAAGATGGATCTCGCGGGTTCCCGTGCCGGTGCTCGCCTCGGCCTCAGCCTGCTTGACTGCACCGAGACTACGCTCCTCCTCAGTGAGAGGGGCCTCAAGCTCGGTGTGGGCATCGTGCTTGACGAAGCCCTGGGCAGAAAGCTCCTCTGGGGTGGTGGCGAAGATGGACTCGCGGAAGTGCTCGGAGCCCAGCTTACGGACGAGAGTCAGGCGGGTGGAGGCGAAGAGCATCTTCTGGCGGACCTTGGCGGAGTCGGGGACGTATGTGACGGCCGTCAGGCGAGGAGCGGTATCATAGCGGCGGAGGAGGGCATAGAGGGCTTCGTTGGGCTTGAGGTGCGGCTGGAGGGCGGACAGGTTGTCGTCGAACGAGTCGGAGGACTTGGGGAGGAACTGGACGGGAGCGAGGGTCTCGTTGTCGATAGTGACGAGAAGGCCGAAGTGTTTGTCGCTGCCGAGGAGGGTGTTGAACTGGGAGACAAGCTCCTGGGAGGCTGATGAGCGTTAGCCGTGGGGTTTAGAACCTTGCGCGAGGGAACTGAGGATATTCGCGATCTGGCGGTGGACAGCGACGGGGGAAGGATAAGGACAGCAACAGGACGGAACGTACCAGAAATGCCAGACTGCATGCTGGCGGTTCCGAGGGGTCGCTCTAGGTGTTGCGGTTCGTTTCTCTAGGACTCAGGTTGAAGCTAAGGCGATAGGGGCGGGATATATATACATACAACTTCCCAGGCGACGATTGAGGGCGGCAGCGGCGGTGTTGAGTTGTGAAGCTGGAGATGCGGCCGCTACGTCAGCTGTTGGGTGGATTCCAGGATGGGGCTCCAATGGTTTACAATGGAGGGGTAGGAGCACTTTAGTGGTCGCTGCGGGTACCTGGACACCGCGCCTGGAGCTGCCAGCGGAGGAGGGGGCGGGCTTCCGCCATTGACTCGGGTTATGTAAGCCACCTCACCTATCCTTACCCATGGGTTCTGCCTGGTAACCGCTATCACTTTCTTCACGACCACGGTATCATCTGCTGCGAATAGCTTCATTCTGATTAAGGCGCAAAATACCACTCTGTCTACCTGAGCCACTTCCACGCCGCAAATGCAGCTCCGACAGCAACACCATACGTTCCGACAATCCTGGCTGCCTGAAACCAAGCATTTCTAATAATCTTTGCATTCGACGCTTCGTGCGCTTGTCGGTCATTCGCAAACGGGAACGCCTTGCCCTCAGGCACTTCTTTCCCGACAAAGTCACATAGAGGCTTCCACCCGTCCTTGCCCACCCTGTACACCAGTAGCCTCTCAGGCGCAATGTGAGCCTTGATGCGCTCAGAATGCCGACGGTACACTTCCGGTGTCATGCGGCGGAAGTCTTCCAGGCTCGACGCACCTCCCGAGAAGCCGCGGAGTATCTTCTGCATGGCGAATCCCGCCCGGTTGCCGACGATGGTGCCCAGAATTTTAATCAACATGCTGGTCAAGGGCTGAAAATTAGGCCAGAGGACCTGGCTTTCGAAACTGGGATACCACGTGTCGTAGTCGCGCTCCGTGAGGATGATCTTGGCGTCGGGATACGCATCCGCCAGCTCCACCGCGAAGAAGCACACCAAATCCGTTAACGCGTCGTACACCCCAAACAGCTCGTCCCAGTCTTCTCGAGTGAAGGGCTTCGGCCGAGGTGAGTGGCCCTTGGCGTTGATTTCAGGCCAAGTCGCCATCGCCGCTCGCTCCAGGAAATCCCAGTGGGTCGGCTTGGTGCGGGAGTCGAGGCCATCGTAGACGTGCTTGAAGCCCAGTTCTTCGAGAGCTGTTTTGAGAGAGGTCGTGCCGGTGCGAAGCAGCCCGACGGCAATCACCCTGGGAGGGCCAGCATCGCGCGCCCTGTCCTCTGGAGTTGCCATGCTGGTCGAGCTTTCTCGGGGCAAAACAGGGAAACTAACAAGAGCTGAGCATGTTCTTCGCGAACAAGAAACCATCTGCAAGCGGTGTGGGTTGCCATGATCATTTAACGTAGCATCGACGCGTCCCGGTCTCTCCGGGCGGTGTACCCACGGCTGAACTCGCGAAATCAGCGCTAGATGCTGATATACGATAAGCAGAAACTCAATTGGGAGGAGCTGAGCAGCAATTAAATGACCTGTCTTGCCAAGCGGCCAAAGTCCCAATCCTTGTCGTAATTGCTTACCACCATCGTTGCACAACAGTTGAGCTGTGTGCTGCTAATTGGTACCTGACTCAGGTCGCTTGCTGTGGCCGACTCCGCATAAGCAGCTCCCGATACTTCTCCAGGCTCTCTCCGATCATGTTGATAAACGGCCATTGAGTATTGCTTTTGAAGAAGTGCGCCCAGATCCTCAGTACTGCCAGACTGAGAGACGCAGGGTCCCGGTCTACACCCACTTCGGGCTCGTCGTCAAAGTCAACCACGTCGTAGGCTTCCTCCACGATGCAGCGTACCCAATGCAAGATCCTGTCTTCGCTGTCTGCAATCCTGTCAGCAGGTGTCCTCTGACCTTTTCGCAAAGGGGGTTTGCTGCCGGGCGGATAAATACAATGCAGACAATGACGACTTCAGGGATGATATGGATGATAGGAAAAACAGGTACAGCGTAGAACTCCGCTCCAGTAACAGAAGCTCGGGCGGGTAAAAGGACTTACCACTCAACGGCGTCGTGCCCGAGGCCTCCGTCAGGGAAAAGAGCCATTTGCTCAGCAAAACAGCACACTCAAGACCCGAGAGTGAGTGTCTGACGCTCCAGAAGAATGCCTGGCTACGGGCGACACGGTCGACGCCGAGTCTCACGGGAATACTCAGCATATGGGCCGTGTAAAGAAGCGCAGTAATGACTCCGCCACTTCGTTCGACTGCGGGTGATCGATATATGGCCTTGGCAATGCGGATCGGATCTCGTGTTTCGAGCAGTCGGTAAGGACCTAGGTGGAGATAGATCCGAACGTAGGCCAGTCCAAGTAGTGAGCTGGAAGTAAAAGGGATGGGGCCGTTCTCGTTGTTTGGGTCGAGACTCGATTCGGGAGCCTGTTGCCATCCCGCAGTCCACGATCGCAAGCCGCGTCTAGTGAAGGTTAGCGTTGTGTGGTGAATGATTGTAATTGGACTTACTCAAGCTTGTCCACCTCCTCGCTAGGCAATGATGCTGAGTGATCCATCACCGGCAAAGAGAGGTCTCGGACGATGTATATCCTCTGCAACAGACCGTGTAAGAGTATGTAATTGCCCAGTGGGGTGGGGATAGGATCAAGTGGCGCAGTGCCATCAGTGTTTCTCAGCAGAAGCGACAACGCATCCTGGAAAAAGAGCTGCTGTTTATCAGTCTCTCGACGGGCGATCTGCCACTGGACAGCATTCGAGGCCTTCCATTCCTTGGTCGAACAAGGCAGCCGAAGGCCAACCTCATTGCTGCGGAGAACAGGATAAACGTTATACGCAATGCTATGTGTATGCATGAAAGAGAAGGCAATCAGCTTCGCGCGCCGTGCTGACTCTTGCTGGGCCCACGCATGCCAAGCTGCCTGTGGCGTGGTCTGGTCGGCAGGAGGCTGGCGCCCGTCTTCCTCATGGAGGCCTACTTCGCGCAAGACTTGAGCCAGAAGTCCCTGCAAGCCGAATGCCTCTTGCATCAGTGACACCTTGGGTTCCCAAGTCGCATACCCCATGAGTGCAATCAAAGCACGAACAGTCTCTATGGGTTCCCACGGACCCCAATCTCTTGCCAGGATGGGTCGTGATTCGCGCCGTTGAGGCATACTGAGAGACGACCCTGTCTTGGGCCCGAACTTATCAGACTCATGGGCAAGGCGCTCCATCAAGATGGCTTTGCCGGCGTAGAAGAGTCTTTCAGACATGCGGTGCTCGAAGCAGTACTGTGCGCCCACAGCAGCCAGGCCGAGAATGAGTTCGAGCGAATGCTCGAAAATCCGCCATGTTGGCGTGTGAAGGAAAGGCATGTGTGAGTGGAAGCCTTCAAAGTAAGACGTCAGGTAACGGGTTAGTGCATGGCGGGATGGGAACTTGAAGTTTGGGTCAAGAATGTCGCGGAAGCTCTCAATGGATGCATTGAGACGAGAACGCTGCTCGTCCGAGATGCGATATGGCTGAGACTCATTGTCTACGGAGCGAGGAACTGAATCATGTGTGAGAGAAGTCCATGCCTGCATTATTCACAACTTCATTTACTTACTGGCGTCGGGCAAGTTCTCTGAGATGCGATTCCCTGTTGGAGCCGATGGCAGCCAAGAGCTGAAAGGGGTTCCGGGCCGGGTCCTACTGCGAGGCCCTGGGGTGGCTGTTCCTTCCCTCGAGTCTTTCACCCTTGAGTCTCTCATGCCTGGGTCGACGACATCATTGTCTCTGTCTGGGCCGTGGAAGTAGGGACTCCACTCTGCAGGCAGACCGACGCCATCGAGGAAGTTGGCAAACTCTCGGAAGTGGGCGTCAAACCCAACAACATCCTGATTGCCTGGCCGGAGGTTTGTAAGCAACAAAAGCCGAATGAGGGACGCCGTATCTGCAACCAACCATTTTCGTAGAACTGATCCGTTATCAAAGTCTGCTGATACGACGCATCTACGAGGCCACCATTTCTAGGGACGGCCATGGGATACAGATCTGCAGGTTGCGGCGGCGGCGGAGGAGGCGGTTGCGACCAATGATCCACGCTCATGCCCGAGAGAGAGACGGCAGCAGCCAGGTCAGCCTCGACTGGCGGCGCATGGCTATTTTCACCGGAGTCCGGCTCCGAAGGGCCCTCCGGGGACTCGGAGCCGTCCTCATGAAAGGCGATCCGCTGATGGCGGGTCAACAGGTCTCGCCTAGCGAAGGCCGCTCCACAACGGCATATGAAGGGCTTTTCCTTGGTGTCTGACACGCGAGCAGGTCAGCGTCAAGGCACGTGGCAGAGTTCCGGGCATCTGGGTCATGGAGAAGAAGCCAGGAGTGCTAGCTCAGGTGTCGTAATGTGTCAAAATCACGCGAGGACTTGGAGTAGATAGGAAACGGCTGTGGAGGAGATGGGATGACTGACGCGTCCGAACATGGCGCTCCAAGTGCTCGGTGCGCTTGAACGTTCGCCCACAGTGAGGGCACGAACGAGCATCGGGGCCGTGACCGGTTCGTCTCCTTCGCTTGACTGGAGTCGAATGAGGCCTGGGATGGAGAGCCTGCGGCGATTGTGCATGCGGCTGCGGTGGCGGCTGGGTCTGCGTGCCGGGACCGTTGTGGGACAGCATCCTTTCCCACACACACACAGACGCCGTGGTTGGAGGTGATGAGAAAGACAGGGCAAGTTGGAGAGAAGGCTAATTGGGGCATCCCCTTGGCTTATGTTGGAGAAGATTGTCCCCCTTGTGGGTCTTATCGACGACCCCAAGGCGGCCATTATCTTTGGAGAACATGACTCGTATCCATGTCCCCCACGGCGGCTATCTAAGTTCGATGCTCCCTTGGACTGGGCGAATTAACTTGCGCCGTTACCCCTGTGACAATGAATATCCTGCTTTTCTCCGAGGCCGTATCTTGCCCGTTTCCCCGCAATATCCACTCGGTATTTTGAATCGGGTCTTTAGGCCGGTTCACGCTCGGGCGTGTTGGAGTAGTTGGGAAGTGATCATCAGGCCGATGTCGACCTATCTGGTCCATGTAACGATAGGCATAACATAGCAGCTGCTCTCAAAGCATATTGCGTTTTCCTTTACAGTGCTACTGCAACGACCCCGGCCCCAAGCATCGTAATGTTCAAGTTTCCCGGAGTCGCATTCATCACGGGTGCTGGTGGAACGGGTAAGTGAGCCCAAGCTCCTCGTCTTCGAGGTTACTTCACCACTGACAATGCGAAGGTATCGGGGCAGCTGTTGCCAGGGGTTTTGCTCGGTCAGGCTGTTCAAGAATCGCCATCACAGACCTGAACAAAAGGTCACTTATTGACACGCGCGATGCGATTCTAGAGATCCACCCCAAAGCGGAGGTGTTGAGTCGGGAAGGTGACATCTCTGACGAGACGTTTGTCAACTCGTTCGTTGGAGACATCGCCAAAACTTTCTCTCGTATCGATTATTCAGTGAGCTGTGCGGGAATCTTGGGAGCATCACTGAAATCTCACGAGACGTCGACGGTGGCGTTTGATCTCATAAACAATGTCAACTACAAGGGCAGCTGGCTGGCGTCCCGCGCCGTGCTAAGTCACATGTTGAGACAAAAGCCACTATCTGAGCATCCAGAGCAGCGAGGATCTATTGTAAACATCGCCAGTCAGCTCGGCGTAGTCGCCCGACCAAAAGCTGGTAAGCTCGAGAGTATCACAAGCGCAAGTGAAGATCACTAACGAGACGTCTCGAATAGCCCCATACTGTGCGTCAAAGGCTGCCATCATCAATATGACGAAATCCGACGCCATTGATTACTCGGAAGATGGAATCAGAGTAAACTGTGTCTGTCCGGGTGTAATTGCGACGCCAATGACGACAGCAAACGAGGAGTTGATCCAGAGGCTGAAGCCAGCGGTTGACATTGCGCCCATGAAACGAATGGGGACACCCGAAGAGGTGGCGAACGCAGTCTTATTCTTGTGTTCTAGCCAGGCGTCATTTGTTCAAGGGCACGCACTGGTCGTTGATGGCGGCTACACAATCAATTAAATACATTCATCAGAGGTATCCAAAAAGCCACAAATCTAACTGATCTATCTATTACGAGCGTAGTTGTGACAGACTCGTTGCTGGTGTTGCATTCGATTTACAACGATGTGTCTTCCAGAGTGAAAATTACGGGTAGCAAACAGCCCTTAATGTCTGAAACTGAACTGCTCTCAAAGGGTTCTTTATGTGCCCACCGCTGGGGAGACCGACGTTGTCCGTGTTATCGCAACGTCAGTGTCTGTTGCCTCTGAGGTTTTCGCCGCCACAATTTTCTCTGGTTCTGCCTCCATTCACATCCATGTCTCCGACAGCTGCGGATATTCTTGGTTGTGTCTTTGTCTCTTACGTTTCATGTCCTTGCATTTCTCTCGATCTCTTACCCATTGCTTCACTGAAAGCATGCCAGTAGACTGAACGTATGTCTCTGGTAAAGAAAACAAGCAGGCAGCACGTTAACGTATCGTTGCAACTGATTGGACTTGTAATCTGGGAAACGAGAATTCAACATGAATCAACTGTGATTATTTTGAGATTTTAATAGATGAGATCTCGCCGTCTGCTCTCAGGCGGAGAGTTTCACCCGTTTGAGGGTGGGTGACGTGGTGCTATTTACTTCAGGCACGGGCCTGCTGTTTGACTTCATGCTCGCTCCATTAAAAGGGGAGTCATGTACCTGATTAGTTGATTCCTCGGTGTTTTTGAGAGCCCGCCAATCAAAGTTGTTTTCCCAAGCGTGTCCAACTCTCAGTATGCTCTTCTCTTGCCATAGCCCGCCAACAATCTGCATACCAACCGGCAGCATCACCTGTGCATCATCTTTTGCGGGAATGAAGCCAACGGGCATGGACATGGCTGGATGTCCAGTGACATTGAAGACAGCCGTATTTGTTGTGAGGCCAATTGTGGGCTCAAATGAACCCAAGACCGAGTCCCGAGCACCGTGTCGCGGGGCCACAAAAGGTGTCGTTGGCATGATGATGACGTCGTACGTTTGAAAAGCCCGCTGGTAGGCATCACTGATCTGACGACCAATGTTGACCGTTTTGCTATAGAGCCCAGGGAACTTGTCTTGCAGGTACAGGCCGTTGATGACAGTGTTCTTGGTTGAAGGGAATAGCTTATGAAAGCTAGGATCAGTGAATGGCAGTCGAGCCTTTTCAAACTCTGTGAGACCGAGTCCCCTGTGGCCAGTAGCGCGACCCAGTATGCCCGAAGAGCCTGAAATACGCTGCTGAAGAGTCCAAATTGAAGGGCCCTCGAGGTGGAGCGGCACGGAAACCTCTTCCACCGCAGCTCCTAGGCTTTCCAGCTTCTGTGCCGCCATCAGGACGTGGTCTCTGACTCTTGGATCGACAATCTCTTGGTGGAAACCTTCTTTGAGAATACCGATCTTGATCCCATCGAGGCGACCGGAACTTGAACGAAGAAAGTTGGCAAAATTATATGACCCGTGGGCTTCAGCACCCAATGACTTGTCGTCGATGCCGTCATAGCCTGAGATGACATCGAGGCACTGGGCAGCCTCCATGACGGATCGGCATATGGGTCCAGCGTGGTCGTCGATGGCATCGCCGCTTGTGAAGCCGGTGAAGGGAATCAGGCCGTGTGTAGGTTTTACTCCGACACATCCGCAGAAGGACGAGGGAACTCGAATGCTGCCTCCTTGATCCGTGCCGAGAGCAATATCAATTTTTCCCGAACCAACCAGTGCCGCACCGCCGGAGGTGCTACCGCCTGTAGAGTAACCTTCTCTGTATGGATTCTCGATCGTGCCTTGAGCGCTAGTGAACGACGCCGTGGAATTGCAGAAGTGTTCGCAAGTTGCTGTACCCAGGATATCGGCTCCGGCATCTAGCACTCGGGTCACCACGGTAGCATCTGTTGACGGTGTCCATGGAGGAAAGGCGTCACTGCCAAAGAACTGCGGGACGCCAGCAACAGCGATGCAGTCTTTCAGGCAGACGCTCCTACCCTTCAGTGACCCTGACGAAGGGTCCTTCGCGGATTGATCTCCTCGGATTAGAAACCGGTGCGCCCAAGCATGACCAAACTCTTGCTCTTCTGCTGTAGGAATATGGATATTTTCGCGGGGGTATTTCTTCGTATCGGGGACTGGTTGGTAGTCCGGTAGGCGATCGATGCGGGTTGCACAGTCGTGGACCGCGGCTAGGAGTCTCTGGTAGTCGGCCGACTCCTCGGGTTTGATCGTCAGACCAAGCGGCTCGAGTAGCTTCTCGACGTCGCCTTTCTGGACAGGATTATCCCTAGATAGAGCAGTTAGCAAGAGGTCTGTTAGTCAAGTGGACAACTTTGATGGCCGTACGATGAGATATCCTTGAAGAATACAGACATGGTGGGCAATTGACCAAGTTTCTACTGCGAGCTCAGCGTGTATTCCACGGATGCCGCTTGAAGCCAGCCCAACTGGTTGCTCATATGTGTATCAAGACATGATCCATGATGGAGCCGCGAGGAAATGTCGGAGACAACTTCCGGGGGTCACTGTACCGGTTTGTGGCGAGAAGGGCCTCCGATGACAAACAGAATGAAGTCGGCATTAGTGGACGCGATGACAGGAGAATGACCCCGCCGGGCGGTACGACCCCATTAGTCGCGTCTCGGGGTTGGAGAAGGGTCGATGGGGTAATTAAGTTGGTAATGAACCGCGCGAGTCGGGGAAGTCTTCTTGCCCCAGCTCCACATCCAGCGCTGAACGAGATGCTAAAGCTGTGAAGTGACGTGAAATTTTGGCAAAAAGCTCAGAAACCGTGGGGATCAAAGTTGGAGGGAGATGTTGCATAAACAACAGTTTCATTGTCACCCGGTTTGTTGGTTTGGTGGTAGAGATGCCAGGGGGGCGATGCCCTGTTCAGTCCAGTAGGAAAGCAAGCTCATTTGATTGGGACTATCTCTGCCCCTGTCTCTGCTGCCACACTTTGCTGCTGCTGCAGCTGAGGTCATTGTCGCTGTCGCTGACCCTCTGTTGTCATCTCTGGCCATATTTGCATCTGTCGCATTTACATACCCAGCAACGTGCCTTCACCAGACTTGAGGGCGGGAATGAAGGAAATACGTGTCTCGTGTGATTTATCCACCAAGCCTCAAAGCAGGTAGAGCTTGTCACCATCCGATTGTATGTAGGTGGACTTTCTAAGCGGAAAGGTGTTCACTCTGTTACCTGGACCACGAGCCTGCCCCTAAAAGCGCTGTCTTGGTAGATTTCTACAACACCCGGAATCCCGTCAAACGGCACGAGTGTAATGTGCGATCTGACGCCAGCTTCCTCGACAATTCTCATCATCCTCTCTGTTGCCGTTCGGCTGGCAACATAGCTTCCACGGATGGTGAGCTCCTTGAATACAATCACACTTGAGTCAAATCTCCAGGCGTCGGCCGGAAGACCCAGCACACCCATGACGCCTCCAATCCTCAGTATCGATAAGGCCCAGTTGTTGGCCGCCAAAGAGTCAGTGCAGACCACTACAGCAGCAACGCCTTCGCCGTTCGTGAAATCCATGATCTTTGCAGTGGCGTCTTCAGCACCGGAATCAACCACCAGCGCTGGCTTCAGAGCTTCATTAGGCATTTCCGTGGCAAGTTGCCTGCCAGCCGGTCGATTGTCGATGGCTATTGTGCCGAATCCCATGGCGGTAGCGAACTGCAGACCGAGGTGACCGAGCCCGCCGATACCAACAACAGCCACTGTCTCACCCGGGCTGAGCCCAGCCGTCGCTCTCTCCAGCGATCCCCATACCGTTGCCCCTGCACACATCAAAGGCGCAGCCTGGTCAAACGATAGTGATGCTGGCAGACGGACTGTGGTCTCTGGATCAATCGATAGATATTCTGCGAATGCGCCGTCGTGTTGGAAGCCTGCAGTTTCTCTCTTGTCACAGAACCGCGGATCAAGTTGCCCACTCGTGCGCTTCGTCAATCCGCAACCACTGCACTCCCCGCACGAATTCTTGTAATTGAGTGCACCAACCCGGTCGCCAATCTTCCAGGCAGGACTACATTTTGCGCCAACTTTGACGATTACACCGGCAGGCTCGTGTGATGGGATCATGCCTAGAGGCGACTTGAATTGCCCTTGCAGCACTTGTAGATCAGAGTGACAGAAGCCAGCCGCATGAACTCTGATAAGAAGTTCGTTGTCGCGGACTTCCGGCACATGTCTCTCAACCAGCTCATAGGGTTTACCGTACTGCAACACTTTAGTCTCTGCCTGTCTGAATGACATGACTGAAAAACTAACCTCAGATATTTGGGCAGCCCTCATAAGGGGGGGAATGCTTGGGGTCGTCATTTGCGTCATGGTGCAAGTAAACTTCTTGTCAGACTGATACGACTGAGAGGGTGGACTCGTTATGTCGTAGGAGCAACATTCGTCGATCGACCCTGTCACGACCAAAATTGGGCCATATCCAGGCCCAGTTGCGATAATGAGGGAACAGCAGCTGTTGGAGACCATCTCTCTCTGAAAGAGGGACCTGACGCCCCTCACTTGGAGGATTTTAGTCTCCAACTCCTCGCAGAAGTGTCTCCAACTCTCCTCTAGTGTACGGAGCAATCCCCGACAACACCCACTTTCAGCATCACCCCTCTTCTTTCCTCAGTTCTAGTTTTAGCAACATTTCGCAAATCGATTGATGAAGATCTAATCCTCCAATCAAATTGCTGGGAAAAACGATGCCTTTTGAGTGACCCGCCCCGGCACCCCGCGATAAGCTATGGTCCCTGGCAGCAAAGGCATCTGGCGGACTAATGGAGCTTACCAGATTGAATTACCCCTCATTAGCCAGTGAGCTGAGTGTGGTGGGCGACCTTCCTTAAGGCCGGTCACCTCGCTATCTGTGAGCAAAACAATAAACTCTCTCCCATTAACCCCCGCACACGCGTTCTGTCACAACTTTAGACGCAGCTCTACCTTGTTTGCCTAGCTTCCTCGGCACCACAATTCCTTGAGTCGATATGGGCAAGAAGCGTGTTCTCGTTAGCTACGGCGTTGACGTAGATGCGGTCGCAGGATGGTTGGGCTCATATGGAGGGGAGGATTCCTCAAATGATATCAGTAGGGGTAAGAGCTTCGCATATGGCAAACAATTAGCGAAGGTGAAACTAAGCATCTCCAGGATATTTCGCCGGCACAATCGGTGTCCAGCGAGTTCTCAAGTTCCTTGCGAAGTATGACATCAAGGCGACATGGTTCATTCCCGGCCACAGCCTCGAAACCTTCCCCGAGGACATGGCCGCCGTCCGAGATGCTGGCCACGAGATCGGCCTCCATGGCTACTCACACGAAAACCCAACCGACATGACGATCGAGCAACAGAGAGAGATTCTCGATAAAACATATCGCATGTTGACCGAGTTTGCCGGCAAGCCCCCGAGAGGTAGTGTTGCACCGTGGTGGGAGACAAGCAAGGAGGGCGCGCAATTGCTTCTCGACTACGGTATCGAATACGACCACAGCATGAGCCATCACGATTGTCAGCCTTACTATCTGAGGACTGGCGACTCATGGACTAAGATTGACTACAAGAAGAAGGCCGCTGAATGGATGAAACCCCTCGTTCGGGGCCAGGAGACTGGACTCGTCGAGATTCCGGCAAACTGGTATCTCGACGACCTTCCGCCGATGATGTTTATCAAAGACGCACCCAACAGTCACGGCTTTGTAAACGCCAGAGATGTGGAGGACATCTGGCGGGACCACTTCGACTACTTCTATCGGGAGTACGACGAGTTCATCTTCCCATTGACCATCCACCCAGATGTGTCTGGTCGACCCCACGTGCAACTCATGCATGAAAGGCTGATTGAGCATATGAAGAAGCACGAGGGCGTCGAGTTCGTTACAATGGCACAAATCTGCGATGAGTTTAAGTCCAAGACGGCCCCTGCCGAGGGTGCAGTGATGCCCGCAGCACCTGGAGCGATTTTGAAGCAATCATAAGCCTAGGCACATAGCTAGAGGAATAAAGATACCATGTCACGACTCAGAAATCTGTCGACACGCCGTGTGACAATCGTCGGGGCCAGATCTATGGCAAACCGCCCTGTCTGCTGGTCACATCTCAATCAAGCGATCCTATGAAGAATATCACCTCACACTCCTAAACCCTGTGGTGTATGCCCATAAACTTTGGAGACTAATCATCATATCGTTCAGGAAGCCTCCTGGCTCCTTACCCCGCGCTTATCGTTCATGACGTCTGATCCATATCAATGGAGGTCAAGATTGGAGCACACCTCCCAAATCCGAGAGTTGGTATCTTGACCCCAACGCCGGCAATAGTCTCATAACATTAATACCCCAACAGGCTTCGATATACCCCAACGTTATCAGAGGAGCCCCGTGTCGACCCACAACCAACCTCCACTGAATGCTGTCTTACCCCCTGAACATGCTTTTGACTTTGGCTGCTGCCAGGGGTACGTGACCCACGATCTTGGGGCGGCATCTGACGCTGCTCGCGGGGTTGGGTGGATTCCACGTCGATGGTTATCTTGGTCGGGAACTCTTTGCCGCTACGAGATAAGCCACCTCTGACTTCCTTGACCTGCTCACCTGTCACAGGCCATATCGCCAGATGCTCCAAATCCATCGAAACGCTTATATCCTATAAATGATATTCGGGCGATGTCTTGCGTCTCCTGAATAGACAGAAAGACAAGCCGTCCAACATTTCATCGACCGGCCAGGAGTATCGACTTAACACCGTCGAAATGTCGCAAACAACCTCTGAGAAGTCCGATGCGATCACGCCGGCACCGGTCCGTAGCAGCGGCAGCATTGACGCCGGCAAGCTCGAAAACCCTGAAGATGCTTATGAGGTCTTCAAGAGAGGCGACGGAGCGGTTGACTTTCGCACGGTTGGTTGGGTCCATGCCTCGGTCATTTTCTTGAAGGGTATGCAATCGAAACCCTAGTCCTGGAGTTATCGTATTCAAAGCTGACATATTCAAGTCATTTTCGCCACTGGTGTGCTCACAATCCCGTCTGCTATGTACGTCTTGGGCGCGCTTCCTGGTGCCATCAATGTCTTGGGCTGGCAGTTCTTGAACACGTACTGCGCGATCATCCAAGGAAACTTCCGCAATGCACACGCCGGATGTCACTCCATCGCTGATATGGCCAACGTCGTTGGTGGCACTTGGTTGAAAGAGGTTGTTGGCGTCTTGTTCCTCGTCACCTATGCCATCGTTGGCGCTTCAGGAATATTTGGCACATCGGTTGCTTTCAACGCTCTTTCTAACCACGCAATCTGTACCAACTCCTACATGTTGGTTGCAACGGCTTGCGTCTTCATCCTTGCGAGTGCCCGCAAGTTCGAGAAAATCGCCTGGCTGACATGGGCTGGCTTCATCTCGGTTTATGTCGCCGTCTTCATTGTTGTGTGAGTCACTACTCCTTCCTCTTCCCATATACAACAACTAATCGCTGCATTAGTGTCGGAGTTACCCAGGTGGACCGACCTGCCGCCGCCCCTAAGACTGGCGACTTCGATCTTGGATACCACGTGATCGGCAACCCGAACTTTGTCACTGGCATCACCTCCGTCGCTACCATCTTCTGCTCGGGCGCCGGTACCTCGGCTTTTCTTCCCGTTATCTCGGAGATGAAGAAGCCCAGGGACTACAACAAGGCTGTCTACCTTTGCATGGGAATTGTTACCGCGTCGTACTTGACCTTCTCACTGGTTGTCTACCGATACTGCGGTCAATGGGTGGCCTCTCCATCTCTCGGAAGCGCAGGAGATGTGATCAAGAAGGTCTCCTACGGGATTGGCTTGACAGGTCTCATGGTCAGTGCCTGTCTTTACATCCACGTTGCGGCGAAGTACCTCTTCGTTCGTCTTCTCCGCGACTCAGTCCACTTGCAGAAAAACTCCATCGTGCATTGGTCTGTCTGGCTTGCCTGCACTCTCGGCATGTCTGTTGTTTCGTACCTGATTGCCTCTGGCATCCCCATCTTCAATTACCTTCTGGCCTTGGCGGGAAGCTTGACGTTTGCGCCACTGGCGCTGGGACTTCCGGGATATCTCTGGGTCTACGACCACCAGCACTACCGCCAAGGTAGCTGGTGGAAGGTCATGGTCTACTGGCTTAACTGGCTGATGATTCTTCTGGCTGTATTCCTCACTATTGGTGGTACATATGGTGTTGTTCAAAACATCATTGATGCCTACGCAAACGGTTTAATCGGAGGTGCGTTCGCTTGCGCAGACAACAGCGGATCTTCATAAAAGGCAGAAGAGGCTGCGTGATGAGAAAATTGTGGAGGATTCTTCGATGACGATAGGCTCAGTTGCTTGGAAATGCTACCCAGTCAAGATGATATCTGTCGAAGGAATCGGGCATTTAATAATGAGGTAGAAATCCTTGATAAAATTCAATGGGATAACAAAACATTGCAAACGAGTTCCCAACGTACTATGCTGAAACAGTGTAGCGCCCGCAGAGTTGCAAAAAGTCCAATAGTTGATGTCTGATCAGTGACACAAGGACGCCGGCATGACGACACTCTTGTTCTATCACGAGTGCGGGGGTTAATGCGAACCTGCTAATGAGACTTACCTCTACGTAGTAACATAATACTTGGACGTGCCTGTCGGTCACTTAGAGAGCTCGCCCGTCTCTAATGCATTCGTCGGTATTAGTATCCCGCTGCCCATGTACACAAATGCAAGAAAACCGACCTTTCCATGTCAAAAACCTGTCTGCTTATGTGCCAACTTTACTCAAAGTCTTCTCAATCATAGCCTGAGGGCATCACCGATCTGCAGAAACACATCATCATGAGCTTCGAGGCCAGTCAAGCAGCGTCGATGAGATCACTCTTGCCAGACTGGGAGACCTCAAGTGCCTCATAGCCGTCTTGGACGAAACTTTGCGTATCTACCCTCCCGCCAATAGCAACCACCCCCGTTTGCTTCCTCCGGAGGGTGCTACAATTTGTTGTCGATTCGTTCCCGGAGGCCCTTTGATTGGTATTGGTCATTATTCTTGTTTCCGCCCAAGTAGCAACCTCGCTGATCCTGACGACGTCGTGCATGAGAGGTAGCCCAGCGAGGATATCAAGTATGCCAGTGATAGAAGGGAGGCCTTGCAACCTTTTGGTATCGGAACTCGCAGCTACATTGGAAAGAAGTACCGTAAGTCGTAAAATGACCTTGAGACGAGTTAGAAACCTGTAGCTGACACATATGCCAGTCTCGCATACAACGAGATGCGTCTCGTATTTGCTACCTTGATGTTCGAATTTGAGATCAAGCTGCTTGAAGAGTCCTCGACGTGGGAAAGACAACAAGTGTCTTATAACTTGGTTCAAAAAGCCTCTTATGGCTGGGCTACATCGGGCGAAGGTAGCTAGACGCAAGGCAGAGGTGTAACACTAAGACATAGTCATGAGGAGAGAAAATTGGGCCGCCGATGGATTGATTGAAATCAACTAGATTGGCTCCAGTCTCAGGGCAGTGCTCATATTAAGACTCCAGCAATTTGTACTTCACGAGACCATTAGCGAGAACGAAACTGTGCTTCGTTCATCGAACAAAGCACTTTGAACTATGTGATAATGCCTATGGAGATGCCCAAAATCATTGTAAGCTATATCCTGTGATGATTACAGCCCCGATAGTAGACCAGTTGGCACCATAAAACCCAATACACAATGCAAATCAGATCAGAATGGCCATGCCTTGAGCGTTCTTCCCAACCCCCATATTCTGCAACTGGAGATGCTGTATTTGTTTCTTTTGAACTGTATCAAGAACCATTACAGCTGCACTGGTGGTACCGTTTCCTGGAGCTAGCGCGTAGACGAAGTTGCCGGCAGCTTTGAGATCAATGAGACCCTGGTCGCCGTTAGAGCTGAGATCGACGATGTTCTTGACACTTGCATCCGTCAAAGACATCTCCACCACTCTGTTTAAACCCACATCCGTGACGAAGGCTGAGTTTGATGCCTTGGAGAAGGTGCCCCAGCAGGTAGCCTTTTGTCCGTCAATGACACCCTTCGCCTTGACCGTGGCGAGTTTGGAACTTTGATCAACGGATAAAACAGCAGCACCAAATGATGCATCTGTGACAAACACGTTGTTAGACTCGGGAATGTTGAATGATCCGAATAGAACAGCTGTTCCAGCCGGCGAAGAGCGTTGTGGTTGCTCAGCTACTGCTGCGTGGCCAGCCATTTGGCCCACTTGATAGGAAGCAAAGAAGCCGGTGTTGTTCTTGACCGGATCACCCTTCACCGTAGCATACAAGCTTTTCTGATCGTCAGAGAAGAAGACTTGAGAAATAGTGTTGGTTGGTCCGACTGGCGGGGTAGTTTGATTCAATGTTATGGCGCGGAGACTGTCCATTGGGCCCATGCCAGAGTCGGAAAACGATGCGCACGAGATTCCAGCCTTCGCACCAGTAGTCCCAACGCAAATGAGGTGGTTTCTCTCTGAAGCAGCGACCGTGTTGGGAAATTCGCCAGGGACAGTAGCTGGCTGCCCGATCATTGTGAGTTTCGTCGGGCTAGCTGGGTCGATCTTGAACATGACAATAGTATTGGACCCAGCATTGATAGTGAATAGATACTGCAAGATGTGAAGTCAGACCATGAAAGCACTTCGAACTCACAGCATACTCACGTTTCCAGCTAATGCTACAGCAGACTGAGAGACCAGCCCATCAGGCGCAGCTGGTTGATTTGTCATGCCATTGACAGAGGACATACCAGAGCCACGAGTGGAGGTAATGGTCCCTTCAGACAATTGCCCGTCTGATCCAATCGGCAGAGCGACAATGGCATTGGCTTGGTCATTGGTGATGAAATAGGCTGCTCTGCCGGATTGCATCTTGCCGTTGGCGCGATCAGGAATCCTGCATGCTCTGGATGCAGCCACAGACACCAGTCCAAGCAGGCAGAATGCAAGCATCGGTGATCTCAAGTACATGATTGAATGATTTGATGGTGGGAATGACGATAGAAGAAATCGAGGGCCTGTACTCGGAAAAGGTAGGAGATGATTTAAACAGTGATTTAGGGAATGATCTGGACAATGAACACACTTGGGCAACATCTCGTACTTATAGAATCCATCCATTTCCGTTCTAGATCTGATAAACCAGCTAATACTTATCACAAATTCTCGTCCAGAAGCCGCAGTGGTTGAAATGAAGAACATAACTCGTGTAATCGAGATTTCCCTTTTCGGACAAGACGATTCCAGAGCGCGGGTTGGATTGAAGGATTCTGACTAAACTGGTTGGCTTAGACTGTCCAGCCTTCCTTGTGAATGGAGACGGTGTCGCGGATCGTAGTATCAGCTTCGTCTGATCCATTTGGGGGAGCTAACCACAAGAGGAAACTCTGATATTCTCATCGCGCTAGATGAAACAATGAAAGCTGCTTGATTTTCGGCTGAACTGCCGAAGCCACCCACAGACTCCAAACCTTGAATTTGGGTAGCCTCTACCCCTTGCTTACACGGTGTTCCTCACACGGACGTAGTTCAGGGCATATTTATCCCTCTGTCCCGCGGATGCTATAGAAGCCTGCCACACTGTACGTTTGATTTCTCACAACACGAAGCGACCAGACCTTCCAAAAGATCGAACCATGAGCAGCAAAATCTTCAAAATCTTCAATCCGGGAGGTCAGTGCCAAATTTGCGCGAGTGCTATCTAGAATCGCGAACATCTAGTACCTAGCTTCAACTCAATTAACATACCTTTTGCAGCCCCAAAGGAAGACCCCGTACAAAAACGTCGAGCACAACTTCGGCGTGCTCAGAAGTACGATAACCAATATCTCTAGTGAGATCACGAAGGGAAGTGCTGAATGAAGCTGCAGATCGTATCGTGATCGGAAGGAAATCTATACAAAGTCATTGGAAAAGGAAGTCGCACAGACGAAAACTCGAGAAGCCGAACTTACTCGTCAATGCGAGCAATATTGTGTTACAATTCGACAACTCACGCAGATGTTACGGCATCATGGAGTCGATCTTTCCAACGACTTGGAGCTTGATCCTACCTACGGACAACATCTCTCGCATACTCCGCTGCTCAATCAGCTCTCTCCACCATGGACACCAGAGGAGTCAATCTCCCCACAGCCGGCGCAGAACGACACGGATGTTTTACAGGCGATAGATGCTCATCGATCTCCAATTCAATTCTTGTCAAACGAAGAAAGCCAAGCCAGTGCAGTCCAAGGCCCGCCCGTCTCGCACGTCAACGAATGGCCTTCATGGAATATGTCCTTTAAGGATGTTACAAGACAACCTTCACCACTTGTGCCTCCTGCCGCTCGTTTATGTGGGCTTGACCACACATTGGTTGGAATGGACTTTGTCCTGACGTAAGATTTCAGAGTTTTCGTTCGGGGTTGAGTTCGTGACTGATCTTTCACCTCAGCATTGAGAATCCTTGTCTCGGGCACCTTCATGGCGATCTAGGCAATCCACATAAGCCGACAGGTCACGCTTTGACAATTTCGGCACAGCTATTCTCCATCACAGGCACGTCAGCGGAGATTCCCAATCATATGGGTTTACCGCCCTACGAAAAAGCCCCAAAAGAGCTTCTCAATCGTTTGTTGGATCTATCGTCATCGCTATGCCCGGAAGACGAAATCACGCCGACTCAAGCTTGGGAATACATCCGTGCTCAGACGAATTTCGGTGGTCTTGAACTGTACAAATTCCAGGCTCTCGCTGGGAAACTACGGGAGGCAGTGAAGTGCCACGGGTATTTTGGTTCTGCTGCATGCCGCCATATCATGATGCTGACTGTGGTGACAGTTTTGGAGCGGTTATCGATCGAGCGCTCTTCGAAAGTTTAGTGCACAATGTGTTCATCAAGTAACATTGATGTAGCTGGATAAAGCGGCTCACCTGCCATTTGTTCCAACGTGGATACACCATACACGAGCAAGAGAGCCATCCGCCGCTTTTTGCCAGAAACAATCATCGGGAGACATCAAATGCGCATTGCGCAGCTTGAATAAATGGACGCAAGGCACTTTGAAAGCGTCGTCGTAGAAGAATTAGATTTGGTACTTTTATTCATGCCGGTATCCTCATCGTCTCTTCCATCCACCACAGTGATGATGTTGTCAGATTACTCATGCGACCATTTCTGATTCATGCTTCTTGTTCTTCCCAAATAGCTTGCGAATACTACCCCGAAACGAGCTCGGTGGGTCGGTAAACTGTGCCTCGTATGCGTCAATGATAGGCTTATCCCAGATAAGATCCGCCTCGGCAGCAGGAACAAAGCGTGTTCTCTTGTACAGCTTCCAAGCCGAGAAAGTGATGATGCCCACGAAGATCATCGTGTAGTAAGAGAAGAAGGTCAGGGTATCCCAATGGCCCGGTAGGAAGGTAGCGTAGCCGAAGCAGGTGACCATGAATGTCATCCACACGATTCCAATGTAGGCGCAGTAAGGCTGGAAGTACCCATAGTATGGCAGATTTCTCCGGATGATGCCTTGGGCATTGCAGGCTCTGTAGAAGAACACATAAACTACACAAATGATGACATAGTTGAGAAGCTGCGCGGCCTGCGTCAAACTTTGCAACATTGTCACGACCTTTGCCGTATTGTTTGAAACCTGCAAGAATGACAACAATGGAAATAGCATTACCAGCGCGAAAGCCCAGATGGGAATGCCATTCTTGAGACACTTCTTGAAGATGGGCGGTGCCTGGCCATCGAGGGCAAGACCGTAGAGACTGCGCATAGCGCAGTAGGTGTAGGCATTGCCGGCGCTGAATATACTTGTGCAAAGAAGGGCGTTGATGATATGAGGAAGGACGTCAATGCCCATGTTCTTCAGAGCAATGACGTAGGGCGAGCCATCAGCGGTTCCGGCGCCAGCGTTTTCGAGCTTTGGGTCGTTGTAGGGCACTACAATGCCAATGGCGATGGCGCTGCCGATGAAGAAAATACCGAAACGCCAGTATACCGTCTTGAAACCTTGCTTCAGGTAGATACGAGGCCTCTGGGCCTCGCCAGCCACCATGGAAATGTATTCGGGGCCGACGACCGTAAATCCAGCGGAGAAGATGGAGGCTAGCAGGCCTTGGAAACGGCCAAGATCGCCGGTATTGATGTACTCAGCGAAAGCTCCCGGGTTCTTCCAAGTTCTGAAGCCATAGGCATCGTGTTGAGGGTTACCGCCGACCATGGTTATGAAGGTGAAGGAGAACGCCATTGCGATGAGCAAAAGCTTACCGCTAGCCAGCCAAAATTCTGCTTCGCCGAAGTACTTGACGGCAACGACATTGAGCAGTCCGTAGAGGACGATGCAAGCAACGCAGACTGCAGCTGCAGGAATGTCGTCACGCCAGAAGGTTAGAATCAAGTTGAGCGCAGAGATCTCGAACGGAATGAGGAATGCTTCATAAAGGAAGAAGTTCCAACCCGCCATGAAACCGAGGGCTTCGTCCACCCACTTGCCGGCATATCGAATAAACGATCCAGTGATTGGCATGTAAACACACATCTCGGCCATACAGTTGTTGACAAGGCCGACCATGACAGAATGAAGCGTGTAGCCGATGAGCAGGCTGGCCGGGCCTCCGCGCTGTAGGCCGGTACCAATGCTAACGAATAGAGCAGTACCAATCGAGCCACCAATAGCGATAAGCTGAATGTGTCGGTTCGTCAAGTGTCGCTGGAGCTGGTCGACATTCTGGCTGCTGACATGAACCTCTCCGCTCTGGCGGAAGGAGTTGGAGATCGAACCGCGCTTCTCGTTGGGTGCGCTGTCGTCGCTTCGTGTGTTGGTCCGGTTTAGAGCGCTAATGGCGCCTTTGTCCTCGCTTGCTGCCGCCATGATGGGCGCAAGAGAGATTCAAACCGTCGAGGCAGTGTTATGGGGCAGAAGAAGATGTGTGAAGTCAGGACATGTGGCTCGAGGAAGGTAATGCGATGTAAGCAGGAGTCCAATTGGCGCAGACGCAGTGTGGTTGAAGCTCGGGGGGGTTGAAGGGAATTAGGGATGGCAAGATATAAGAACACCGCAGATAAAACAGGGAGATAGCAGGGAAAGCAAGAGTAACCAGGCACGGGGGATACACGGCGAGACGGTCGGAACGGGGAGGGCTCAACGGCCAACGGGGGCTCCAGTCTCCAGCATACGGTCCCGCGCGGTGGTCCACTCGTTCGGTCCACTCAGGGTCCCTCGAGCACCTTTGGAGAAGCGAGATGGCCAACCAGAAGGCACGCAAACACGAGCACGCAGGGAACAGGTATGTAGTGTACTGACAATCTTGCAACATGGCACTTCACATACGCTGCCCGGCGTTGTTGCAATGTACTTCTACGGAAACCCAGCCCTTTCAGCCAGCGGGGACAGTGAGCTAAGCTGGGAATAGCTTGATAACACGGGCATGGGTAGCGAGCGTCGGGGGTTGACAAGGACACGCAAGGAGGGATGAGGGACGAGGGATGATGGGTCGCATTTAGCTGCGCCATTGGCGAAAGCGCGGGCAGGCGGAATATGCCAAGTCCAGCTTGTAATGGACCGCTCTGGATACGCAGGCACAATTCCAACCATTAAAGATATGTGGGCTGACGTGCCTTTGACCCTGTACCCGATTCATTCGCACCAACCCGTTTCTCTTCTTGTAGACTGGAGTGCGCCGTAGAGTTTCACCTACCCCACACCACATCGTCATCTTCCAGGGTTGCCTGGCGTTTCCAACAGGCGCTACAAGCGACGTGATTGCACAATCTCAGGTCTGGAGTCGGCGGTGTCATTTGCCGTTGCGACCATTGGACTTTGCTCCATTTGACTGGCGGGCTTCTCCAGGCACCACGTGTAGTAGGTACTAAAGCGAATAGCCGTCGGGTAGTAATACTGAGTTCGCCCGCTTGTTTCATGCGAGGTATCAGCGGGGCCCTAAATAGCCAGTGAAAGTTGATCGCGTTTGGGAATCTCCCATTCACTAGTTGTGAGTATCGACAATGCGATGTTGAACGTTGGCAAGAAGCCCAATCGCGGTATCTGGTGTAGATGTCATGAACTACACAGCCACTGTGCCTCCAAATAGGTGCCACATCGCTGTTCGTTGGACCGGACTGACGCGCGGGCAGGCGGGATGACCTGCTCAACGCGCCAACATTCATGAATAGGTCTCGACTGCGCGACTTTCTACACGAGCCACCGGATTGGATGACACGCACGGGGGTGGAGGCAAGCTGATGAACCTCTACTGATCCCATGTTTAGGGATGGTGTGGCGATGTCTGAGCGGTGTGCTACCGGTCGCAACCCGCTGATAATGGATGAAGGTACAAACTCTGCGTCTGTATCCGCACAATCGAGGGAAGTGCATTTGTTGACATTGCACTCGGCATCCCGCTGCCTAGTCCTCGTTTGCAGCGACTGGTCGTAGAGGTATCCCATCAAAATATGTTGCAATCCTCGCCTGCCTGTCTGCAGCCTTGCTCACGCTGAGATCCATGCCGTGCTGCCGTAAGTGGGGGACCGCCGTCTCCGTAGTGTGTGTGTGCATGTGGCCAGCCAACCAGCCTGAAATTGTACTCCACAAAGACTGCTTTCAGCTCTTGAGAGTTGGCGAGGAATTGGCGAAGAAAAAACAAAGACAAGATAGCATGTCAAAAGTAGACGCGTGTAGTCTGATAGTCGTCTCCGAAGTTGAGATAAAGATGAGGCTAGGATCGCCTGAGAGCCCGAGATAAGTGCGAGCTTCTGTAGTTCTAACAGCCGACGAGCATGCGTTATTCGATAAGCTGGTGAGTACATGCATTGCGGCTCGGAGCACATGGCAGCGCCTCCCGAAGCCGAAACGATGAATACAGCCGCCTTACCCTTCTAGGTACATGCAGGCGCCGTATCGGACTAACAATCCGAGTGATTCTTTCCGGCCCATGATGACGCGGTATCTCTTTTCCTATTCTTGTCGATAATTCCCTGAGCTTCCAACTTCCCAAAACAAATGCACCTCATGGATGGAGCATCGACACCACAAGTCCTGATTCCTCCCTGTAATCTAGTGCGACGAGTGCTGCCACTCCTTGTCTTGCCTGTGTGTGCAGATAGGGTGACTCCGTTGGCCCCCTGCACTTCGGATTGGCCCTTGATGACGGCAGTAGCTAGCGAGGCAGCTCAAGGCGGACCAAGACCCCAGACAGGTGCTGTCTCTCCGGCAAGAAAGTCAATTACCTCCAAAGCCTCGTTCAGCTGCGGCGCAATCAAAGTCACGCGACGTACATGCGATGATGGTCTTGGGTCGCCACCCGCGGCGAAGGAATGAGGCAGTGAAACCTGTGCGCCAGCGCGGCGACCGTATGCACTGAGAATCATTGATACGGAATGCCTGTTATGGAATCTGCCTCACGCGAAAATTGGGAGCTGTCCGTCCCGTAAGAAACTGCCTGTGTAGACCGCGCACCTTGAAGAAGCCGCTGGCAAACAGGAACAATGCATCGTTTCAACGTCCTCACGCCTGACCTCCACCCCCGCTAATCCTCTTCTCATAACTGTGCCTCCACCCGTCGATGCTGAGCGTGGAGCTGAAAACGCGGGAAGGGGTGGGGAAGCCGGATGTAGAGTACAAACATGCTGACCAGCCTGGCTACAACATGCACTAGCGCAGCACAATAGTCTGGGGAAATCTATCAATGACGTCAGTAGTCAAGGAGCAGCTGGTTTATTTTACGTAAAGAATCAATATCTTCGTTGTTCTGGAGAGTAGCATGCAAAAGTTGAAGAATACATATCTGGGAATGGCCCAGGCCCGAATTTGGGGGACATTATCAGTTGTGGGGCCGTCCGAAGTCTCTTTTGCTGCCGTGCGCCAAAGGTCGGCTTTCACGGCGTGCTATGCCGACCGATCTGACAGCTGCCTTCCTGATAAAAGAGTCACGTGGTCGGAGTACGGAGCCAAGTCCGACAGTAAACAGCCCTCCAGGCGCTGTCAAGAAAGCTTGATGATAGTAGCTAAAGTATGGATGCTACGGATAATTCACATGGGCAACAGCACATCAGTTCTCACACCGGACTCTGACACAGCCCGGCCGGTCTATGTTCCAGGAAATCTGGGGTTTATCACAACAACACGTCCAATCGGACATGGCATATTCCAAATACGCTGACGACGGAAGCGGTCCCTGTCCGACTGCCCTGGTCATCCTTCGCTTGTTAAGGGGCCTTCATGATACTAACAACAAGCTATCTTGTGCATGACTGGTGACTTAAAGCCTAAGCATCGGAGATGGCTCGTTGATTTCTCGTCTTTGCTGCCACACACTAATCATACGGAGTTGCAAAGACCGAGCCGATGACTTGCACACCACCACTTGGTATCACCGTGACTCGGCAACATCATGACCCACCAAAACTGTTCGAAGCTAAACGTAGGAGACCGTCGGCAACCTGCCATTGCCAACATTCTTTGGGTTCCAGGCTGGCTTCTCGGTTTGGCCGCCAACCCCTAGCGCGGCCGAGCCTGGTTGAATCAAGTGTTGTTCTCCAGCCCCTGGCTGCATTCCGGCAGACCCGAGTGGACATCGCACTTCTAATCAGGGCGCGGGCGATTATTTTTCACTTAGCTATCGTCGACGAAGTCTGATCCATCTATTCAAAGGCGGGGCCACACGTCTCCGAGACTGTAGGCCGGACCGAGACCATGACCGGCAAGCAGAAGACGCAAAAAAGCAGAGATAATCTCCAAAACCCGTGTCCTGAATTAGAGCGGTGAAGTGACGACGTGGTCTTTTAGCTAGTTTGGCATGGTTGTGTAGGCCACGCCCTTCGCATGAAGCGAAGAAGGGAAGATCTCAGCCGACATTGTCTGTAGAATCGGCCCCCAATCCAAGAAGGAGGAGATAATCATGAGTTTAGCAATGCAGCGTAGATACTGAAGAACTTCACAGCAAAGGTTCATTCCAAACCTCAAGAAGTTAGTAACGCAACGGAAACTGATTTATCAGGATTGTCTGACCTCATACGGTGTTAGGTTTTCATCCTCCCACAAGGGGTTTTACCTATTGGTGATACTTCAATGAATAGCCGGGCGCGTAATAACGAGACTAGTTTTCTTGTGCTCAGCTCTTTCCTGGTAGGATGAAGCCTTGTTCTCTGAATTGAAGCCCCTCCAAGGTCAATCTATGCCTGTGGAATTACTGAGCAGACGACTAGAGATGAGTCGGCAGCTGTAAGCCTGGTCCAAAGACGTGTGTATAAGCAGAGCCATGACCGTAGAGAATAGGCGTCTGCTATCTATGGTAGGTAGAATCAGTACTAAAGGGTGCGGGAAAATGTGGGAGAAATGTTTTGGAGTAGATTGAAGTTAAGAAAGGGGTCCACAGCTTTTAACATGATTGCGTTCGAAAGGTCAGTTCCGCATACGAGCAGGAGGTGCCGAGCACCTTTTGTTTCAACAACGGTCGGGAATTGAAGCAAAGGATGTCGATTTGGCAATAATGAAGTTCAAGACAAAGGCGGATTCCGTTTACGCCAGTACTGATGTCGGCAGCATAGAGTCGCAATTTTTAGCACAGCCCAATCGCACCAATTATTCCAATCTCGACAGCCAGTTCAACTCAGTGAAATAAGTGAACGAGGCCTTGGCGCAGCACGCAAAACGGCTGAATACTTGACACAAGAGATGGATAACGTGCGGAATGCCATTGTTTCGGTCGCTGCGCATCCCATGAACTACTACCGAGATATCAAAACAGGCACTTTAACATAAATGAAAATAAGTAGATCAGTTTTGGACCTGTCATCTCACCAAAAGAAAAAAAAGGACACATGGCAATTGATCTGAACTTGGTACGAAGCTGAGATGCTGATCGTTGATGCCATCTTGGCCCATATTATTAACTCTACTCTACATCAGCCTGCCAGCATGGATGCCTCCGGTTATCAAAATATCATCTGAGGTGTGATAGGCGCTCGCGTTTGACAGCAGGTACACCACAGGAACCTTTAGATCAGTGCGATCACCCATTCGCCGCATGGGTGGCTCTGTGTTCATGATTTCTCCAAGATGGGGATAACGATTACACAAGTCCAGCGTCATGTCAGTCGCCATGTATCTATGCACCATGTTAGTGTTAACTTCTGAAAACTCAGACTAATATATAACAGACCCTGGAGAGATGCTGTTGACACGGATGCCGCTCGCAGCAAGCTCGACACCGAGAGCTTTGGCCAAGGCAACCACTGCACCCTTACTGCAGCAGTAGTCACTGGTTGTCTGGCCTTTGCTAGCGACGTACGCAGCAATTGATGCTATCATGACGATGGAGCCTCCGCGGGGGTTGAAATCAGTTGGCTCTTGGCTAGCCATCTGTGCAGCTGCTAGCTGCGCGGCATAGTAAGTGCCGAGGACATTGATGTTCATGCATTTGGCCACGGACTCGGGGCTTCTTTGCAAGAACGGCTCGTCGGGACAAATGCCAGCGGCAGTGACACTGCGATGCGTTAGACCCAGAGAAGCTCAAATATTGGACCAAGGATGACTCACAGCCCATCGATTCGACCGAAGTCTTTGACAATATTGCTGAATGTCTCTTTCAAAATATCGTAATTTGTGACGTCGCTCCTTGTGGTGGAGAGGCCTAGTCAGCCACGTAAATTTGCGCCACAAGCCGCAAATAATGCCTACCTGTAGTACTTGATCTTGACTTCGTGCTCTTGCTCGATTCGATAAAAGTGATCATGGGGCTCTTGGGCTGCATCAAGAATGGCGATGTTACCTCCTACTTCGGCGACTGCTAACGCAAACGCTAGCCCGAGTCCGCGAGCGCCGCCTGTGATTACAACGGTTCGCCCTTTGAGAGACAGAAGATCGTGCACCGAGTTGCTCAAGTACCGGTTGACATCCGCCTTAGGCTGAGGCGCATTAACGATGCTAGAAGCCATATTCTTGTATCGGGAGAGAAGTTATACAAGTTGGTTGCGAGGTCGAGACAACGGGTCGAAGTCGATGTTTGCTTCTGAGTCAAGAGGAATGCTGCGACTATGTAGGAGAGAACACGTACATTAAGTTTTCATTTCAATCTTAATGGAAGGATCAGTTTAGGAGCTCAAACCATGTGCTTGAAGATTGGGCTGACATGGCACCCTCCGGACCCGAATCCCGCAATCATTTTCACAAGACACATGATCAATTCCATCCGGCATTATTGAGCCGTTCTGTGATCGGAAGTGCAATGATTGGCATCAAATAAAAATGAGATCATGCAGAGTAATAGCGCTTGATCCGATTTCCGCATGGAAATTCTTCATTCCAGGTTGTGGCCGGACATTGAGTCCCGATGCTCACAGCCACGGATTTGATGGCCGAGCGCCCCACAAAAGCCGGGTGCCGGCCGAGGACTAGCCATCATCAACCCGACAAACGGGAAGCACCTCGGCGGCAAAATGGGGTGATGACATTGACTATAACAAAGCCTCAAAGAAAATTGACTGCCACACGCGCAGCTCTGTTTGTCGAAAATCCTCCCTTCACTGGTTGAACGAGAAAAACACCTCACCGCGTCGCCGTTTCAGTTCAATCGAGGTAGATATCGCGCAACATTGTACAACACGCCCAAATATGCCTCCATCAGAGAATCAGTGCAGCTTTCACATCGAGAGTGTCTCCTCAGGCTCAGGGCAGCAGCCATTCCTTAACGGAGACAAACCAAGCTTTGTGCCACCGCCACCTGCCCTCGGCCTCAACGGACATATCGATGGCCAATTGAAAGGCTGGAGAGAGACTTTGAACGACGACGACTTTGCCGTGCTTGCTCTGCGAAACTTGATCTTCGATATCTGCAATCAAAATGGAGGCGGCCACGGGGGATCAGCCATTGGCATGGCGGCCATCGGGGTAGCCCTGTACAAACATGTCATGCGTTACAACCCCAACAACCCCAGCTGGTTTGACAGAGACCGATTTGTGCTTTCAAACGGTAAGGAATTGGAATTATTTGGCGTCTATAGCTGTACTGGAGCTGACAAAACAGTCAAGGCCACACCGCCATGTTTCTTTATGCACTCAATTATTTGGTTGGATATGACAACTTTTCCATGGACGAGATCAGAGGATATGGAAGTGCCAAAACAAACGGCTACAAGACAATTTGCCACGCGCACCCTGAAATCGAAGTTCCTGGAGTGGAAGTCACGACAGGCCCCTTGGGCCAAGGCATCGCCAATGCTGTCGGCCTCGCCATCGCATCTAAACATCTCGCGGCGCGCTACAATCAACCAGGACTTGATGTCGTGCAATCGAGAATATACTGCATGACTGGTGACGGGTGCCTCATGGAGGGGGTTGCTCTCGAGGCTATCTCCCTTGCTGGTAGTATGCAGCTCGACAACTTGGTACTGATTTACGACAATAACCAAGTAACCTGCGACGGACCGCTTGACTGGATCAACAATGAGGATGTCAATGCAAAGATGCGCGCCTCGGGATGGCATGTTTTGGAGATCGCCGATGGCAACCACGATGTTAGTGCAGTGGTCTCAGCGCTCAGATTCGCAAAGTCGTTGAAAGGCAAGCCCGTCTTTATCAACATACGGACAGTCATCGGCCTGGGTACCAATGTCGCTGGTACTTTCAAGGCTCATCATGGTGCATTTGATGCCGAAAGTGTGGCCTTGTCGAAGCGCTTAGCTGGACAAGACCCAACAGCTACGCACCAAGTCCCACAACCGTCTCTGGACTACTTTCGCGAGCGAAAGACGCGCGGAAAGGAGCTTGAAGAAGAGTGGAACAGCATGTTACAGAAGTATGCATCGGCGTACCCGGAGAAGTCATTGGAGTTCCATGGAGCCAGAAATGGCGACCGCGGGACTGAAGCACCTCAAATGCTCAGTGAAATCGAGGCAGGCCAATTCGAGGGGCTAGCAACTCGTGAGGTCAACGGTGTTCTTCTGGAAAAGCTCTGGAAATCCTGCCCGACTTTATTTGGCGGGGGCGCCGATCTCGTCAACTCAAACAAGGTCCCTTACCTCGAAGCCGATGTATGCCACCCGTCTGTCAGCTATGCAGGGCGTTACATTCGATACGGAATTCGCGAGCATGCAATGGCAGCAATCTCCAACGGACTGGCTGCATATGGGCCTGGCACGCTTTTGCCAATTACTGCAACATTCTTCATGTTTTATCTCTATGTAAGCTCCTGACTGTCCTTTCGTTATTTGTTCGACATGGCGAAGAGCTGACACAACATCGCCAGGCCGCGCCTGGCGTCCGCATGGGGTCCTTGAGCCATTTACCGGTCATTCACATCGCCACTCACGATTCATTCGCCGAGGGACAAAACGGCCCAACCCATCAACCAGTTGAGATCGATTCCTTGTATCGCGCGATGCCTAATCTTGCGTACATCAGGCCTTGCGATGCGGAGGAAACAATCGGGTCTTGGATGCTCGCATTGAACAACCGCGAGGGCCCAACGATGTTATCCCTAGGAAGAGATCCGACTGGCGCAGTGCCGTCGACTGATCGATTTAAGGTCGCGAAAGGGGCATATGTCATCGAAGATGTGGCTGGAGCCAAGCTCACTCTGGCCAGTTGCGGTACAAATCTCCATTATGCCGTCGAGGCCGCGAAAACGCTATCTACTTGTGGCGTTCCAACTCGTGTTGTCAGCTGTCCCAGCTTCACCCACTTTGATCAACAGAGTAAGCAGTATCGCCGCAGCGTTTTCCCTACGGACGGTACTCCGATTGTGAGTGTGGAAGAATACGTTGCAACGACATGGGCAAGATACGTCACAGCGAGTATCAGCATGGTTTCTTACGGGTACTCCGCCTCTAACCCCAGCAACTATGATCGTTTCGAACTGGATTCCAAGGGCATTGTGAAGCGTGTGCGAAGATACTTGGATGATCTGGGGGAGGAAAATGCGAGAATGGCAGGATGGAGGCAAATCTGAAGTAGACAAATGTAGTTGAACTTGTACCGTTCTTCAATAGACGTACATAAACCCGCGGTTACGATTAGGCCTTCAAAATCAAACTTTCATGACACATGAACTATCAAGATGGAACGTATCTGGTTCTGCGAAGAAGACTGCAATCACGTATTTTCTGACAAGCAATAACACAACACGGGAAACAGAGATAGCATATTAAATCTATGGTAAAAATCCATCGGTAAGACAATCTCATCGTTCTAGATTGTTCATTGAAGATGTAACCAAAGCCAAAGATCATCGTGCAAACTACGATTTGACGAGGAGTGTGCCAAAAGATGCATCAGACGTGGGGTCCAGAAGTAGCGGGAGGTGATTCGCTGGGCTACGTTTTCTTGCGGCTCAATAAGATCAACTTATCCAAGATCCACTATGCGAGTGACGTGAGTCTCGGGGCTAGGATTGCGTACGTTGTGGGGCTTGTCCAGACACTGTCGGTCGGATTTCATGGAGGCACCGCTGTCGGAACGAGAATTCCGAACCATCAGAACCTGTAGGCATGTGACGGAAATCGAAAGTAATGCCTGTAATACCCCTTCTGGCCAGGATCGAAGATTTTGGTGGAATTCTGATCACGATAGACGCCGCCATCAGCACAACTTCGAAATTTGATTCCCGAGGCGGCGACGCAATGATTCGGCAGCCAATTTCGCAGGCTCTGGCACCGGGCCCATGTCCGTATGGTAAGCGATATTCCTAAAAGAAGCAAGAGAAGCCTACCCTTTGACGAACCGCCCGTGTTCTACGAAACCTGACTGCGTCTTGTTTTCGCGCAGTCACTGCAATCGTTCATTCGACACAATAGCTACAATCTGTTCGCCCATCCGCCCAGGCCCGAAACCAGAATGTCACAATACGCGAAGGAGCTCAATGCCATCATCATTGGTGCTGGCCCTGCCGGCATTGCCATGGCGTATAGGTTAAAGCATGAGTTGCATTTTGACGACTTCACGATTTACGAAAAGCTTGATGGTGTCGGTGGAACTTGGAGAACGAACACGTATCCAGGATGGTAAGCGTTGGCGGACTAGATGTTTCCAAAGAAGAATACTCTAACAGATGTGTACAGCGGCTGTGACTTGAAGTCACATCTTTACTCCTTCAGCTTCAATATGAATCCGAACTGGTCGAAGGAGCTTTGCGAGCAACCCGAAATTCTTCAATGTGAGACTCCTTCGACCGATCGCTAAATATTCCCTGACTAATGCTACGCAGATATGGAAGATACCTGTTCGAAGTTTGATCTTCACAAGCACATTCACACCTCAGTTGAGTGTATGGGAGCAAGATGGCACACCGATATCTCGAAGTGGGAGGTCAATCTAAAGGATCTCCAGACGGGCATTAAGTATTCTCGGTATGCCTCGGTCCTGGTTTCTGCTGTGGGCGCAATCTCCTTTCCCCGAGATGTCAAATTCTCTGGGATGGAAAAGTTCAAGGGGCATATGTTTCACACAGCGCGATGGGATCATGGCGTCGATTACAAGGACAAAAGGATCGCGGTTATCGGCAATGGCTGCAGTGCTGCGCAAGTGGTGCCGGCCGTAGCAAAACACGCAGCTCTCGTCAAGCAGTACGCCAGAAGTGGACAATGGTTTCATGCCCGCCCGAACAAGCAATACTCGGAGACAGAAAGGTTCATGTTTCGGTGGGTGCCTTTGTGGATGCGATGGTTGCGGTTACAGATCTTTCTCGATGCCGACGAGGAGACAACGACATATTTCCCAACTCCCAAGGGACTGAAGGCTCGCGCGGAGGCCGAGGCAGAATCAAAGAAGTACATCAAGTCCGTTGCGCCAAAGAAATACTGGGATCACATTATTCCCAACTTTCCCCTCGGTTGCAAGCGTCGCATTTTCGACCCCGGCTACCTTGAAAGTCTCAATCTCTCCAACGTCGAGCTTCTTCCCGAGGGAATCAAAGATATCACCGAGACCGGAATTATCAGCTCTTCTGGAATCGAAGATGACTTCGATATCATTGTGTTGGCAACAGGATTCCAGGTTTCCCAATTCTTGACGCCGATGCACATTGTCGGCTCGACTGGCATCTCCTTACACGACCAATGGAAACAGTGCCGCGGAGCCCAGGCCTATCTTGGGACACATGTGCACAACTTTCCCAATCTCGCCATTCTGTTTGGCCCCAACACCTTCCCTGCGAATAATTCAGCCCTGTTCGCTTGCGAGACCCAGGTTGACTACGCGATCAAGTCCCTATTCACACCCCTCATTGATCACAAGGCTGCTGTCATTGAGGTCAAGCAATCCGCAGAGGACAGAGAAACGAATGCAATTCACAAATCTCTGCGTGATACAGTCTTTTCTGGAGATTGCTCCAACTGGTACATTGGAGACTATGGAAGGAACGCGGCGTCATGGCCTGGATTGGCAAGGTCATTCTGGTTCAAGACTTACTTCCCCGACTGGTCTGCATTCAACATGAGTGGAGGAAGTGCCATTTGGCCTTTACTTACAATCCGTCGCTGGCTGAGCACAATGTCACCCATTTCGACAGCCTTTGCTCTAGTGAGCCTCGCGGCAGCCGTTAGCCGCTACCGTGGGCTGGTCGAAGGTGTTGCCATTATGGGATACTTGGAGACAGCCCTGCGTGCAGGAATCTCGACTGTTTCGAAGTTTGCACAGTGATCGACGAACTAAGAAGGGTGGAGGTCTAAAGAAGGCGGTGCAGACGCAGAATTAGATCAATAGATTTTAAACATTGTTGAAGAATGTCTTTTACCACGAGATAATTACGCCAAATTTCTACTGACATCGCGTGATGTTCTCCGTCCCTATGCCTGACTATCAGCCCCGAAACAAACCATGTCACTAAAAGATGTTGGTTGGCTGGACAGAAGAACGATGCTTTTAATAAGAACGCGCGGAACCTCGTCTTTTGTTTTGTGGTTGCCAAATTAGTGTGTGGTTGTGCGTTCTATTTTTGGTCGAGGGCTAAAGTAGTAGCGACTGATTCAGGAATAGCCGCATGTGTGTTGGGTGATACTCTGGAAATTTGGCTGTGATCGGAATTATGCTCCGAAGGGCTGTCGTGTTGAATCACTGTGTGCACGAATGCGGGGTCGGGTTTCTTTCCCGGCCGCAAATCAAAGGAACAACCTTGTCTTGGCGATATGAGAGATCGCGGGGGGAAAGGGGGCATCAACAATTCCGTATCCAGAAAATGACGTGTTGACGGAATTGCATACCACCAGCAGAATGCTGCTCAATTTTACCAATGCGTAGGAATAGTGCCAAAAGTATCAATCCCGCTCGGCACAGTGATAAGATCCATAAGTTGATAAACAGTCGCTTGTGCAACTTGATATTGATAATGAGCGTATTTGAATTGCTAATTATCGACGTCTTCACTCGTTCTATTATCCTTGTCTCTATACTCCGGTCAATCTTACAAGCGTCAACATGCATTCTACCGCCAACAGTCAAGACACCAATGCTACTTACCACCGCGATGCTTTAGCAAAGGTATGTGAACGTGCCAGGTCGGAAAACAGAAGGATGTCGACTAAACCGCGTTTCGACATTCAGCTCAACAACAATGAACTCTTCATCTCAGATGCATTCATTGGCGGGAAGTGGGTTTCGAAAACTAAGAAATTCGACGTCTTCGGTATGTGCTCTGCGAAGGCCTTCAGGACTTGGAGCTGACCTAAGTCAAGAGCCGGCGTCGGGCACGAAGCTTGGGCAGGTATCCGACTGTGATGTGGAGGACTTTCGGAACGCCATTGAAAGTGCCCATCAAGCGCAAGCAAATTTCTTCGAAGGGACGACTGGTACTTCGAGAGGAGCGCTCTTGCGAAGATGGTATGATCTCATTCTTGCCAATCAAGATGATCGTAAGCATATCGGCATCGGCACAATTGCCATCCCACTCAGTACCGAACGCTGATGGACGTTGCAGTGGCGACAATTCTCAGTCTCGAAAACGGAAAAACGATTGGTGAAGCCAAGGGAGAAGTCGTATATGCAGCGAATTTCATTTCGTGGTTTGCCGAAGAAGCGACAAGGGCATATGGCGTGACGATTCCCTCATCTACGCCTCATACCACACTGCTTACGATCCGGGAGCCGGTAGGTGTTTGCGGGATTATTACCCCATGGAATTTCCCAGCTGCGATGATCACCCGAAAGGTGGGACCAGCTCTTGCCGCCGGCTGCTCTGTTGTCATTAAACCCCCGAGCGAAACGCCGTACACATGTCTAGCCTTGACAAAATTAGCAGTAGAGGCTGGTATCCCTTCGAATTTGATCCAGGTCTGCCCTACCAAGAACCGTCAAGCAGCGACAGAGCTTGCTACGAACTCCTTGGTTCGAAAGATCAGTTTCACAGGGTCAACCGGCGTTGGCAAAATGCTGGCGAAACTGGCATCCGGGACCCTCAAGAAGGTCAGCCTTGAGCTTGGTGGAAACGCTCCATACATCGTCTTTGATGATGCCGATCTGGACCTGGCAGTGGAAGGCGCAATGTTCTGCAAATTTCGCTGCTCCGGACAGACCTGTGTGTGGTTAGTGGGCCGTCTTTTTCTGGGTCTTCCTCAGATGCGCTGCTTCGATTGAAATTGGTTCTGACCCATATCATTTCAGTGCGAACCGACTTTACGTCCAGAAGAGGGTAGCAAAGGATTTCACTTCAAAGCTGGTGAAAAAGGTCTCTGATTTGCAAGTCGGTCAAGGACTGGATCCCTTGACCACACAGGGTCCGTTGGTCAACAAAGCTGCCATTGAGAAGGTTAGAGAGCACATCCATGATGCAACCTCCAAAGGAGCCAAAGTCGAAGTAGGAGGACAGCCTTTCCAGTCTCCAGGCTTCTTCTTTCAGCCCACAGTACTCTCGGGAGTCACCCAAGACATGATCGTGAGCAAGGACGAGACATTTGGCCCACTTGCCCCCGTTTTTGAGTTCGAAACGGAGGAAGATGTGTTGCGTCTGGCGAACGACACAGAATTCGGTCTTGCTGGCTATTTCTTCTCGCGAGATATCAGCAGAGCAATGCGCGTGGCCCAGAAACTGCAGGTAGGCATGGTGGGTGTGAACACTGGCAAGATTAGTGCCCCCGAGGCTCCATTTGGAGGCGTCAAGGAGAGTGGATACGGTCGCGAAGGTAGTCTGTACGGACTGGAAGAGTATCAAAACATCAAGAGCATTACGATTGGAAATCAAGATGCGACGGCACTATGAACGAATGGCTACTCAAAGTAAACAATCGACACTGAATAGGAAGAGCTCGAGTTACCTATTCAATACTGAGATTACCATCAAATGCCCCCTACCGCACAGATCTGCCTGTGACTGCTCCTGATTAACCTTTATGTAGGACGCAGCTCTAGTGATCAAGTATCTGATGGGACCCAGAGTTCAGAATTGCTGCATGCAATGAAAATAGGAAGCGATTCTTTCGTATGGGGCGACTTTGTGAAGAACAGATATAGAGGACTGGCAACTCAGATTTGATGCGCACAGAGGATAGGTCCTTTGACCACCGATGAGCAACTCAGGAGGAGAGAACCAGCAGAAGAAAAAGCTCACGGTTATCCCCAACTTCTTCTCCATGTGCCCCAGCTCGGAGTGCGGGGAGGTTGGAGACAAGTGTGGGGTACCCGGGTGCCCCCTAGTTTGTGGGTCAACGGGGGTTGAATTCCGAACACTGCATCCATGTCAAGCGCGGGGAAACACAACGCTGAGCCTCTCGACTCCTACTCTTCCATACCTGACATTCTGCACCGAGATTGAAGCAATTCATCAGATGAATGCTGGCGGGAGGTTGAGACGATTACCGCACCAATATGGCCTCAGCAACGCAGTCGACAAACAAGAGGAAGCATGTCACGACAGCGTGTGTGCCGTGCCGCGAAAGTAAAGTAAAGGTACGCGCCAGAAGCGACAGTCAGTTCCAATTCCTGAAGACCTTTGCCCATTGGAGTGCTACACCCAAGCAGAAAAAAATCAATTGACGAATCTTAGTGTGATGGTCAGACCCCATGCTGTTCAAACTGCAAGCGTAAAGGCAAGAATTGCCAGTTCCAGGCAAATGAGGATAAACGGAAGTAGGTCAATCATGCATGCAGACAAGTACCACTTCTGACCCGAATGAACATCAATAGATTATCTCTCCGAGTAGCGATCGAACTACTCTGCGCCAGAGTTGACCAACTAACTCACTTCATCGAGAAAAGCGACCTGCTGCCACCGCCCATGCAAGAGGATGACGAGACCGTACTGCTGAGAGTATTGAAAAACGTTGGCCTGATACACGCTTATCCACGAGGAGAGAACAGTGGGAGTATGAGTACAGAGCCAGATAAGGCAAACTCAACAAGCGTCGGTCCAGATTGTGCTTCCAGTCCGGTAGCTCGACTTAACGACACAGATCGGCTTTGTATTCCAACGACGACCGTCAACGAAAACGTTACAACATTTGACACTCCGCAGGTTGAGAGCCTGATCTCAAATTTGCCACTGGAATGGCGGGAGGGCCGAAAGATCGTATCGAATGAACAGACTGACAGCCTTGAGCTTGATTGGGATTGGCACAGCTCAGATGATCTCGTTGACATTGTGCATACCAGAGCAACAACAAATATGACCGTTGAAGGACTCTCTGTACCAAATGACGTCCATGCCGTCCCAGACAAACCCGAACGTACCCTCGGACCCTCAATCTCATTTCCAACAATAATTAGTGGCGACGATAGCGACGCTGAAAGCACAGAGGAGCTCGTAGATCGCTTGTCGGAGCGTGTTGGGTCTCTGCAGATCGGATCGGACGGTCAAATACGGTACTATGGCCCTACATCAAATTTCAATTTGGTACAGATGCCTGCCCCTGACAACATGACGGTGCACCGAACAGTGAGAAATGATGGCCAGGAATATCTGGATCGTCTGGAAATAGGAAAGGACGTACCGAACGACATTGAGGATCACTTGGTGAACCTTTATTTCACATGGCAAGATCCTGCCTCACACGTCGTGCAGCGGGAAATGTACCAAAAGGCCAAGGTGCAGTGGTGTGATCACATGCTTGATAACCCATATTATTCAGAAGCTCTGCGTAACTCCATGTGAGTTTGTTCTTCAACCGAGATTTCAGAGTCGGCACTGATACTGATGTGTGTCCTAGATGCGCCTTGGGGGCTGCGTTTGAATCGCGTCACCACCCAACATTCGTTACATTTCCGAAGTCTTTAGCGGACTTCTTCGCTGATAGAGCCAAAGCACTATTAGATATTGAGCTTGACTGCCCTTCTGTTGCTACAGTTCAGGCCATGGTCATTCTAAGTGGCCATGACATTGGGTGCAAGCGGGATGCTCGCGGATGGCTCTACAGCGGTATTTCCATGTACCTGCAAAAAGTCGCGAGATTCTGAGCTAATGATATGGATAGGGATGGCCATGAGGCTTGCGTTTGATCTGGCACTGCATGTTGACATGACGCCCTATGTTAGAACGGGCTCAATCAGTCAAGAGGAAGCAGACCTGCGCAAAACTGTATTTTGGGGGGCATACACCGTTGATCAGTAAGCATGTTCCTCGTCCACCAAGGCAAATGTCGAGCTCATCAATTGACAGCCTTTGGGGATTGCACCTTGGCCGCCCCTTCCGAATTAACATGGAAGACGTAACTGTCGCAAAGCCTGGCATAGACGGTAGCATATCAGGGCATTGGTCTGCCTATGTCTCCCCTGATTCCTGCGGAATAACCCAGCCAGACCATGCTGAACTGCTTTGCAGCCAGAGGGCACTTCTTTGCGACATCATGGCGCCTCTCGGCCATGCTTTGTGAGTATTGGTCGCTTTCATGAACCCTAATTGTTGACCTAATTTGCTGCAGATATGGAAGCCAAAGAATTCCACCAACCGTGCTGCAGGAGATGAACCAGAAGACAGTGAAAGAACTCAAGGAGTGGAAAGACTGTTTGCCTTCAGTACTTCAGGTCCAAACCGACGAGAAAGATACGAAAACGCCGTACTTGCCTCACGTATTATTATTGCAGTAGGTTTCAACAAGTAGAAAGCTTATTCAGTCAATCGCGGATTGTATGCTGATATAGTATAGCATGCATTATCATCAAGCAATAATACATGCTCACCGACCTTGGATGTCAAAGCATTACATCCAGCCCCAACCACCTCAAGGTCCGGGTCACATTCACGCCCGCAAAGCATGCGTCGACTCTGCTGTGGCAATTGCCAAGATCCTTCAGTTGTACGAAGAGAGATATACTCTGAAGCGTATGAACATACAGGGAGTAACGATCACCTGCTCGGCTGCACTGCTGTTGATATTCGCGACTGTATCTCACATCCAAAGGCCGGGATGTGACGACCTGGGAGTACAGCTGAGTGCATGCTTCAGAGCCTTGGATGAGTTCTCATCTTCTTGGGAAAACGCCAAAAGAGCTCATGACTTCCTCATAATGCTACAAAGGCAATGGGAAATTCGAGCCAGGTCGAATCGGTTGCGTCGGCAGTCTTCAGCAACATCTTCGACTCCAAGAAAGAGACTAAGAAAAGACTCAGTGTCTAATTCTTCACCTCGTGATTACTCCCCGGCATCAACCACCCAACCGAGCAAACGGCAGCAGCATCACTCACCCCAGGCTCAAGCAAATGCGGACGCCATGGGAGCCGAACTAGGTATCGATCTTGATTGGATATTTGCAGTGGATAATAGCGCAGGCCCAGAGGCCTTTTTGGGAACATGGGGGCTATCGAAATCATATGGCATATCATAGCGCATTGATAACTTCCTTGCAAGGACTGCAAGACACGTCTTTTGAGTACATGATCATTCGCCTTAACTTTTAATGTTGCAGGTGCCACGACTACAATTCATTCTCATTGTGTCTCAAACTCTTATCACTCCATTGGTGAATGATCATAGTACCCCTCAGGTACATGCATAAAGTCCCAAGTCGCAGGATCCCGAAAGATATCAGGCATTCCATCATCGAACATGTCATAAAACGCCCGGTCCAATTGAAGATATGAGACATCGCCCTGGTCCCAAAGGTCGCCAGTTGACGTCTGCAGCTGCGCTTCGGATATGCCACCCAGGTCTTTGTCGATGGATTGATTCCTATGTAACGAGTCAGGTGCAGCGTTCAGCTGACTTCTGGCACTGCTAGGTGCATTCCCACCGTCAGGCGCTGAGTTGGACAGACCATTTCTTGAAGCAACTGCCAATGTACCTCTGTCAGGGACCGCAGGGCCTAGACATGTACATTGGGGCTGCTCTTCACGAAGACTTCTCTGGATGAATCTCAATAAGCGCTTGGCCAGTCTTGCGACACCTTTGACCGTAGTCCATCTTTCCGATAGGACATCCAGTGCCTTGCAGCAAAGACTTAGGTCCTCACAGGCAGTCTCGGGATCTCGCTGGCCATCTCGCAACGCACGGTAAATGACTGTTGTAGCCATCGACACAGCATATGGCACCAGAGGCAATGGCGGGAGTCGATCAGAGCCTTCTTTTGATATGATTTCAAGTACCCCTCCAGCCGATGCAAGACGGCGGTTGTATTGGAGACTGCCTGGGCCACTGTATCGACAAGACAGCATAGCAGCAACGTGGTACCAGATCTCGAGATAGGCTGCTACATCAGAAAAAGCCCAAATCGGCGAAGATTGCTTACTCACATGCATGTGACCGGTGGAAGCTGTCGAAAGACGTGCTTGATGTAAGTTGTATGAATGACGGAAATTCGCCACAGTCATCAACAGTGGCCTTAGAGCTCGCTTTGTAGACCCGTGTAGCGGCGATCATAAGATCCCCAAGTGTGAGTGAGACTGACATCAGTTGTGATCTATAATCTCCCTCCGTTAAGGGGATACGGTCAAGCGCGATGTCGGTATCATCGATCATGAAAGGCGCTGCCCCCATGATTGGCTTATTTAGTCGGTCAAAGTTTCGGAGTGCCCACCAGAGGAAGTCGCCCTGTTTACGATCTGGGCTTCCCGGAACCTTGAGATGGAGTGATATGGACCATGCCTCGCAGATAGCTTGCGATAAATAGCTTGACGACCGGTCTACACCACCTAATCCATCATTGTGCAAGTGCATCAAAGCCAGAATTTGGATCTTCGTGATACGGTCCGGCTCAAGATTTGCCTTCATAGCAGCGTCCAGACCCGTAAGCAACTTGGAAGCGAATTCCAAAGGGTTCAAGACCTCGCCA